CACATGTTACGCATTGCCTCCTTTGCATTGCGTGCTCTGGCTTCACACTTCATTGAGAAAATTTCTAAGCCCCGGAGCTACGCCAGCCTTGGGGGCTCGCGCGAAACCTCAAGCCCCTAACCCCGGAACCTGAACGCGCGTTCTGCTTCGCATGTTGGGTCCTCACCTGCAGGGAGAAGGAGCGCGGCCTTGACGGGGCGCGCGAGGCGTTCGATCTCGCGGCGGCTGTGGCGGCGCGAGAGCGCGAGCAGGAGGAGAGGGAGGAGGAGGCGGGGGAAGAGGGGAAGGAGCGGGGGGAGCGGGATCCAGAAGCGGCGTCAGCGGCGGCGGCGGACGTGGAGAGGATTCTAAGCGCCGCGAGACGAGGGCGGGAGGGTGCGGAGGAGGGGGAGGAACGGGAAGAGGGAGAAGAGGAGGAGGATGAGGATGGGGAGTATGGGGCGTTTTCGGAAACCGCAAGCATGTACAACGATGCCGTGGTGAGCTGGCAGGCCAAATCCTGTCAACTTCTTCCCTACCTCCTCTCTCCCCCCCTCCCCCCTTCTCCGTTCCCCGCTCCCTTCCCCCTCATTTCCGTCTCCCTCCTCCCCACCAATCCCCCTTTCCCCCAGTCCCTCCCCCTTTCCCCCACCCCTTCCCCCTTTGCCCCACTCCTTCCCCCTCTCCTCCCCCATCCCCATCCCGCGCGCCATTTTCTCTCACAACTTTGATGCCTTGTTGTGCCGTGGCACCTGAATCTGCCGCGTGTCCTCGTGCGATTGGCACTTTGGCAGGCGGACGAGGTGACGGAGGAGGACGAGCGGGCGATCGCAGTCTTCCTCGCGGGAGGGGGGGCAGCGCCACGTCAGCGCACGCTGGCTGACGTCATCATGGCGAAGATCCAGGAGGCGACTGCTGGCAGCGGGTCGGCGGGAGCTGCTGCTGAGGGCGGTGGGGGTGTGAGGGGGGGAGAAGAGGAGGAGAGGCGGATACCGGGAGTGGATGACAAAGTAATGGAGGTGTACAGAGGGTGAGTGAGTGTGTGTGTGTGGTTGGTCAAAATTTAGCAGGAGGGTACAGAGTACCACAGGTATGGGAGGGGGGGAGAAGAGGAGGAGAGGCGGACACCGGGAGTGGATGACAAAGTGATTGAAGTGTACAGAGGGTGAGTGAGGGTGTGTGGTTGGTCAGAATTTAGCAGGAGGCTAAAGGGCACCACAGGTATGGGGGGGGGGTGTGGGGGAGGGGGGGAAGAGGTGAAGAAGAGGCGGGTACCAGGAGGCCTGCAGAGGGTGAGTGTGTGTGATGTGATTGGGTACATTTCTGCAGGGAGTTCACAGAGCATTACAGAAATTGCTTATCCGAGGGTGAGTGTTTGCACAGCACATGTTGTAAGTGCGTGATTAGATGATAAAAGCAACGGAGGCTAACTGAGGGTGAGGGCTAATTAGGAGCGCGCCCTTCCCCCCCGCCCCCCCGACCCTCCCTCCCCCCAACCCCCTTGCTCTGTCTTCTCTTCTCCTCTCTTCCCCCCTCCCAGTGAGGGCAAGCTCCTGAGCAAGGCTCCAGTCTGGCAAGGTGCCAAAAGCGTTCAAGATCGTTCCAGCGATAAGCAACTGGGAGGACGTGCCCTTCCTCACCGACCCGACAACTGGACGCCTGCTGCTAGACTGAAGGATAACCCTTCTCTGTCCTCCCCTCTCTTGCCGTCCCCCCTGTTCCTGCCTGACCTGACCATCCCCTGACTGACATTCCCTGCCTTCCCCTCCCCTCCCTCCCTCCCTTCTTTACAGCGTGGGGAAGCTGCTCAGCCGGTTCCGATCTGGGAAGGTGCCCAAGGCATTCAAGATCGTGCCAGCGTTAAGCAACTGGGAGGACGTGCTCTTCCTCACAGACCCGGACAACTGGACGCCTGCTGCCGTCTTTGCTGCGACTCGCCTGTTCGCGTCGAATCTCAACGCTCGCGCTGCGCAGCGGTTTTACCGCCTGGTGCTGCTGCCGAGAGTGCGCCGGGACATTAGGGTTAATAAGAAGCTGCACTTTGCACTGTACCAGTCCCTTAAGAAGGCGGTTTACAAGCCTGCCGCGTTTTATAAGGGGGTGCTGCTGCCACTGTGCCAGTCCCAGACGTGCACGCTCCGTGAAGCTGTGATTATAGGGAGTGTGATTCAGAAGGTCTCGATTCCCGTGCTACACTCCAGGTGAGCTGCAAAGCCTTTCCTTGGGTAAGTAGTCAGATTGCTGCGATCCTTTCTTCAAGTACAATTTATGCTAGCTGACATGGTTTCCGGGCTCTCTCATCTTGCAGTGTAGCTCTGATGAAGATTGCGGAGATGCAGTATGCTGGCACCAACAGGTGAGCCCTAAGCTTGTGTCATAGAGCTTTTGCATTGCTTGTGCTCTTGAAGGTTGGAGGCTTTCAGTAACATTGAGTTCCCCCAGTCATTTGGAGGCTTCTTTGTTACCAGTTTTATCCTGACTTGACCTGGATGCCATCAAACTTTAAATCACTCATGGTATGTTGGGGCCCTTTTTCCTCTCGTGGGCAGTTATTTCATGAAGCTTCTGCTGGACAAGAAGTACGCCCTGCCGTACCGGGTCATTGATGCGGTGGTTGGGCATTTCCTGCGCTTCCGCTCTGAGACTCGTGAGCTACCAGTTATCTGGCACCAGTGCTTGCTCTCCCTCGTCCAAAGGTATGTGGCCCCCCTCCTAGGGATTCATTGTGATTCTGGCCGTTTGTATTCATTCTGAAGTGCATACCATTTGTTTCCTGGTTCAACCACTTGTCAGGTACAAGAATGAGTTGACACAGCAGCAAAAGGCGGATATCAAGTTTCTTATCACCAGCCGTCAACACCATCACTTGGTACGCATGCATGCAATTCACCGTGCTCTTGCATGGCCGCTGCATCACTTTCAGGTTGTAAGTAGGCTGTGGTTAAATGTTTGTGCTTTCCTCGGCTTTCTGGTCTGCAGATGTCACCAGAGATTCTCCGAGAGCTCCAAAGTTCCACCAGGTCGCGAGGCCAACCTGATGCTGGGATGTTCCCGTTTACGTCAGATGCCACCATGAGTAAGTCCTCGTGTGCCTCACTAGTTCTTTCTCTTCTTTCGTGATTCTAAGAAGGACTCATCATTTGCAACGTCTGCTCCTTGGCGTGCAGAACCGTTGGTGGTCACAAAGCCCTTGGAAGATGACTACCGCAACCTCCCGGAGGTCTGCATTGGGATGGATGAAGACTAGAACTTGTTTTCATTTAGTTCATGTGCTGCCCTGATTGACAACAATGAGCAGTGTGCCCTAGAGAGGAAACGATGTTATTTCCGTGCATAAGTAGTCATGCTGGGCTTCTGTTGTATTTGTTGAACAACCTTGGTCCTGGCACAGCCTAGGCAGTGATATTCTGCAGGATGAGCCTGGTGAATCCTTGAACCTCATCCTGGTCTTGCTTGTTCATGGCACAAACTGCATGGAAATAGACCCATAAGACATCCCTTCTCATGTGTGGCCAAGGCCACACAATTTCTGTCCACTTACCCCACTGGAGGACGGGGAACATCGCTTGCTTCTTCGGCACGGAGATCAGGTATGCAACAACCTGTAGTCCTCTTGATTAGGATCAAACATCCTGGTTGTGGTTTCAAGCTGATGAGTGACTTCCACAACCTTGTGGTTACTTACAACGATAGAGGCAGGTAGCGCTGATCTAGTCAATTGTTGCCGCAGAGTAGGATCAGAGTGCAAGTAGGTATAGATAGTGTAGCACGTGCTGAGCTTGATCAGATCACCAACTCGTGAAACCCGTCTGAAACAGGAATTGAGGCTGTCATTGAGAGCAATTCCAGATCCAGAACAATGGAGTTGGAGAAGCACCTTAGCTCTTTCAGAAGGTCTTCCACGGCCGCTGGGCATGACCTCCCTGTCTCAAACTCGAAGTTTATCGCCTGTGCAGCATTGTAAAGTTTCATAAGTGAGCTCACAAGTAGATAGCAGTAGCGCCCGGTGTTGCCTGCTTACCTCCAACAGCTCAATCTCCTGCATTCAGAGAAACGATCAGGAACGCCACCTCTTGCAGGTAGAACAAGCACTGTTGCGACTTACGGCCTTGACGAAGTCTTTAGCAGTGTAAACCTTGTCACTGATGATTTTCGATGCACAAGCTTTCAGTTCTGTCGAGGAGATCTGTTCAGTCTCGAACATCTGCATGGTCGTGAGTTACCTTTGGGGGAAGAGTTTATCATTCTTGTTTTGAAGACCACCCTACCTTGCTTCCAATCCACAGAAGGACCAAGGACAGAAACAAGCAGTCTGAGCGGTCAGGCTGGAGAACGGATGACGCATTCAAGATCCTGGTTGTCAGGAACAAATGGTTAGGCATAGAATCCTCTTCTAAAGCTCTCCGGAATCTGAGTACCTTTCAGGACTGTCTGCGCATTCAGCCTCAATGGTATCCAAGCGCCTCGCGAACTTGATGAACACAGAGGCGGCGCACCACCTCGTGCATTGCGATATAGGGGTTCCATTTCGTGCCTTTATCTGAGGATCCGTGCAGACTTCTTGTCAGGATTGAAAGGAACGGGAAACAGAAGCGAAGAAGCTTATAAAGTACCTGCATTTGGAATATGAGAGCCAGACATTCGTTGACTACCGCCTCTGGCACGCGAGCTGAGGCCATGACTGCTCGTGTGTACTTACGGCAAAGCCAATTCTCAAGCACGCAATTCTGGCCACGAAATTGTGAGGGGGAGGTGTACTTCTGCAAACGAAATTGAGTTGATCCCAAAATGAGATCTGAATTTGCTGGTCTGTCGCCGAAACTACTTTCGCGAAAGTACCACGTCTTCCTCAACACCTGATTGGTTCAGAACCTTCGGTTTCGCTGGCTTTTGCTGTCCATTGGTGGGAGCTCCACTTTCTTCGCAGGGTCTGGCGCTGGTGGACATCTGCTCCTTTGGGATCTCTCGCGTTTCTCGCACATCGCTCCTGAGGAATCTCCCACTGATGATGAATTTTCTGCTTCATATTTGCTGTCACTCAGTTTCCCACGTTTTGAACTAGTTTCTAGGCATTCCCAAGATCCCCAACCAGACACGTTGGTTTGAAGTCTTTCTCTTGGGACGCTTGATAGGAATTCCGATCTGTGTGGGGTTAGCTGATTGATCAGGAACGCCGACCATGGGTCCGCCTCGGAATAGTTCCGAGCAGCTAAGATGGCGACTGGCAGTAGCTGTCGCTGTGACCCTCCTAGCACTGGTTCCGCTCGTGAGCGGAGCAGTTTTCACCGTTGACCTGGGTTCGGAATCCATGAAAGTCGCTGTGGTCAATCCCCGACCTGGCCAGAGCCCGATCTCGATCGCGATCAACGAGATGTCTAAACGCAAATCCCCGTCTCTCGTGGCCATATCCAACGGCGACAGGCTCCTCTCAGAAGAAGCCGCCGGGATCGCCGCTAGGTACCCAGATCGCGTGTACTCACGCGCGAGGGACATGGTCGGTCTTCCATTAAATGAGGTCAAGGACCTTTTAAAAAGCAGCTATCTTCCGTACGATGTCGTCGGGGGGGATGGGAGGCCGGAGGAGGAGACGGAGGACGACTCACTGGCGTCGGAAGTTATCAGCGAAGTGACGTCAGAGACGGAAGGCGAGGCTGCTTCGGGGCGTTCGTCAGGCAAGGAGGACAAGGCGAAGAAATTGAAGCGGAAGCGTCCCGTGAGGATTCGAACCCACGACGGCTCGACGGAGTACTCCGCTGAGGAGCTCCTGGCCATGCAGCTGGGCTACGCTAGGGGACTGGCGGAAGCCCACGGGAAAGCCGGGATTGTGGACGCCGTCGTTAGCGTTCCCGCGTACTTCTCCCAGAGTCAGAGGCAGTCGATTATTGACGCTGGGGCTCTGGTTGGCGTGAATGTGATGGCGTTGATTCAGGAGCATGCCGGGGTGGCGCTGCAGTATGGCATGGATAAGGACTTCAGCAATGGCAGCAGGCACGTGGTTATCTTTGACATGGGGGCCACGACAACCTATGCGGCCGTGATATATTACTCGGCTTATGCGACCAAGGAGCGCGGGAAGAGCATCACAGTCAACCAATTCCAGGTCAGTCGAATGCTCCACTCCGTCTTTCCTTGTTGACCCGCAGAGCGCTCCTGTTCTTCTGTCCTTCGTGACCTCCACAGCGCATTTGCCCATACACCTTCTGAAAGACAGACATGCCAGTTGGCCAAGGAACGCGTTTTTTTAACCAGCCCATTCTAAACTGTATCCTTCGTCCTTCCTGCGTGTGTCTGCGACCTGCGCAGGTGAAGTCTGTGAGGTGGGATGCGGAGTTGGGAGGGCAGACGCTGGAGGCGCGGCTGCTGGAGCACTTCGTGGACGAGTTCAACGGGAAGCATAGCGGCGTGGACATCCGATCGTCGCCCAAGGCCATTGCGAAGCTGAAGAAGCAGGTGAAGCGCACCAAGGAGATCCTCAGCGCCAACATGGAGGCCCCCATCTCCGTCGAGTCCCTCTACGACGACCACGACTTCAGGTGAGAGTCCTGGTCCTGAGGCGCCTAGAACTAGTGGCGTGGACATGCGGGCGTTGCCCAAGGTTATTGAAAAGCTGAGGAAGCAGGTGAAGCGCACCAAGGAGATCCTCAGCACCAACTCCTAGGCCTCCATCTCCGTGGAGTCCCTCTACGACGACCACGACTTCAGATGAGAGTCCTGGGGCGTGAGGGAGGCTGGGGTTTGAAATTAGTGAGGGAGACTGGGGTTTGAAATTAGTGAGGATGGTTGGGGTTTGAAATTAGTGAGGGAGGTTGGGGTTTGAAGTTAGTAAGGAATGTTGGGGTGGTGAAGGAAGGTTGGAGCGTGGAGTAAGGGAGGGGGCTGGTTCTTGAGGTAGGGGAGGGAGGCTAAATAGGAAGGCTGTCCTGGAAAGAAGGACGAGAATTCTCGGATCTCTGAATCCCAACAATGACGCCCCTGTGAGAGAACATGCCCTGGGCGAGCTGTGTCCCGGCTTAGGATGCTCCAGTTGGTCCTCTCTATACTGAAAAGTTGCTGTATTCTGTGCTGCTTGGATGTATGCCACACGGCAGGTCATCCATAACGCGGGAGAAGTTCGAGGAGCTGTGTGCGGATGTGTGGCCGCGAGTGGTGGCGCCGCTGCAGGGGGCGCTAGCAGACGCCAACATCACAATGGACGACGTCTATGCCGTGGAGCTCGTGGGGGGAGCCACCCGCGTGCCCAAAGTGCAGGTAGGCAGGCACCGTGGCTCAGCCAACCACCAAGTGTCTGGTACCAATGACTCCTAACATCTTGCCGTTCCCTCACTTCCCAACCCCATCTGCACCCCATCCGTTCCCCCTCCCCTTATCCCTGCCTCCCACCTGCTACCCTTTCCGTCCTGCTCTTCGCCTATCTGGTCTGATACAGTCTGTGCTGACAGAGTCGTTGGGTTGTAGCCGCTAGCTGGACCGGCACCTGGATGCAGTTGAGGCGCTTCCTTCCTCCACCCGCTCCTCCCCCCCCTCCCACCCCCTTTGTCTTATTGCAGTCTGTGCTGACTGAAGCACTGGGTGGTAACCGCTCGCTGGACCGGCACCTGGATGCAGATGAGGCGCTCGCTCTGGGGGCATCCCTGCTGGCGGCCAACCTGAGTGACGGATTCAAGCTCAACCGTCGGATCGGCATGATCGATGGGCTGCCCTTTGCCGTCAAGTACCGGATCGAGCCTTTGCCTGTGGATGGGGATGCTGGGAGTGATGGGGAGGCAGCGGATGCATCGGAGGGGCCTGTGGTGGAAGAGCTGTTGTTCCCCCGGCTGAAGAAGATGCCCATCAAGGTATGCTGAAAGCGACAGGCTGCCCTTTGCTGTCAAGCACCGGATCGAGCCCATGCCTTTAAATGGGGATACTGGGAGTGGTGGTGGGGATGGAGAGTCTGAGGACGTATCGGATCAAGGTGTGTTGGTTTGGAAGGATTGGCATCAAGGTATGCAGGGAGTGGTGGTGAAGATGGAGAGTCTGAGGACGTATCGGAGGGGCCTGTGGTGGAGGAGCTGCTGTTTCCATGGGTGAAGAAGATGCGCATCAAGCCCATCAAGGTGTGTCGGATTGGAAGGATTGGCAGCAAGGTGTGTTGGGAGTGATGGAGGGATTGGAGGGTCTGAGAGTGCATCAGAGGGGCCTGTGGTGGAAGAGCTTCCACGTTCCACAGGGCCTTCCAACATAATTTGGGCGAAAAGGGAGCATCGTGCGCTAGAGAGCAGGGACTAATCAAGCCTGCACTCCCGCCCCCCCACTGTCCTGCAGATAATCCGGTCACTCAAGGAGCAGGCGAGCGACTTCACCCTCTCCTTCCTCTATGACGAGTCACAGGGCCTGCCCCCCCGCTGGCCCAAGGGGGCTCCCATCTCCACTCTGCACGTGTCTGGCGTGGCCAAGGGCATTGCCAAGTGAGTTCCGTGGGATAGGGTCTAGTCTCTAGAGAGACTAAAAGGAGTGGTATGGGTCCTCCTACCTCTATGGAAAGATTCGAGACTGCCCCCTCGTTGGCCCAAGGGTACACCATCGCCACTCTGCGCGTGTCTAGAGTGGCCAAGGGGGGAGTGTGATTAGCTAGGCTTGGGGAAGCTAGGGGCGGGGATACGTATGGAGTGAAAAAGAGGGTGTGATGCGCCACACGTCCCTGCTTCCGCTATTCCGTTCCCTCCCTGTTCCCTGATGCTATATCCGTGCTGCTATATGACGTACTAACCGCCCAGGTACTCGTCTTACAACCTGACGCACCCCATCAGGGCCAGCCTGCACTTCCACCTGACAGCGGCACAGTGGGGCTGGAGACGGCCGAGCTCGTGGTAGATTTCTCAGAGTGGGTCGAGGTGCTCCTTGACCTTGGCCGCTTACAAACTAGCCGCCCCTGCCCGTGCTCCCCGGATTCCCCCCATGCACCTACCGAATCTTCCCCAGGTACTCGTCTTACAACCTGACGCACCCCATCAGGGCCAGCCTCCACTTCCACCTGACTCGCAGCGGCACAGTGGGGCTGGAGAAGGCCGAGCTCGTGGTGGAATTCACAGAGTGGATCGAGGTGCCTGTCATCCCCCCTCCCTCTGCTGCCAACGCCACTGCCAATGCCACTGGTAATGCCACGGCTGGTGCCAGCGCCAATGCCACTGTGAACGCTACTGGTGATGGTGCTGCTGATGCTGCTGGTGCTGGTGAAGACGGGTCAGATTCCGCTGCTGGTGGTTCTGAGAAGGATGCTGCAGGAGAAGGGGGCAGTGATGCTGGGAGTGAGGGGGCAGGCGAGAAGGGGGAGAAGGGAGAGGATGGAGAGAAGGGAGAGAAGGAGAAGAAGGGGGAGGAGGCGGGGAAGAAGGAGGAGTCGCCGAAGGTGGAGATGAGGAGGAAGCTGAGGAAGAGGACGATCAGAGTGCCCCTGCAGGTGTCTGACGTGACTGAGGGCTTTCAGCGAATGATGACGGACGAGGAGATGACAGATGCCGAGATCCGATTGGACCGGCTGCGCAAGAGGGACGAGGAGAAGAGGGCGATAGCTGAGGCGAAGAACACTCTGGAGGCGTATATCTACTCGATGAAGGATAAGGTGAGGTGTGAGGGAGGAAGGAGAGGTGTGAGGAAGTATGGGCAGATGTGAGGGATGAGGTGCATGTATGGGATGAGGCATAGTGCGAGGGACGAGGAGAACCGGGCTAGTGCTGTGGCGAAGAACACCCTGGAGGCGTATATCTACTCTATGAAAGATAAGATGAGGGGTGACAGATGATAAGGTGAGTGTGTGAGACGAGGGGCAGTGAGAGAGATGAAGTCAATTGCTGAGGCGAAGAACACGCTGGAGGCGTAGATCTACTCCATGAAGGATGAGGTGAGGGGTGAGGGAGGAAGGCGAGACGTGAGGGGTAAGGTGGGTGTGAGAGATGAGGTACAGTGTGAGTTCTAAAGAGAAGAGGATCATTGCTGATGCAAAGAACACCCTAAAAGCGTACGTCTACTCTATGAACGGCAAGGTGCGGTGCGGAACGTATGGTACGGCAAAGATGCGTTGGGACCATGTATTGACTGGATAAATGACAAGGAGCAAGAATGGGGCTCTGACCGCCAGAATGGGGCGCTGACCGCCAGAATGGGGCTCTGACCGCCAGAATGGAGCTCTGACCGCCAGAATGGGGCTCTGACCACCAGAATGGGGCTCTGACCGCCAGAATGGGGCTCTGACCACCAGAATGGGGCTCTGGCCGCCAGAATGGGGGCTCTGACCGCCAGAATGGGGCTCTGACTGCCAGAATGCAAGGTATGAGGAGAAGAGGGGTAAGAAGAACAGTCCGAGTCAACTCAGTCTCTCCCCCCATGGAATTCTTGTTGCTGACCAACCAGATGGGGAAAAAGGAGGACCTCATCAAGGTCATCACTGAGCGGCAGCTGGTACCTCCTGCATCAGCTCACTTCCTGTGCCTTGCACCCTCCCGTGCCCTGCATGTTGCTGACCACGCAGAAGGAGTCAGAGGAGGACCTCATAGGGTCACCAAGGAGGAGCAGCGCGACTCTTATCTGCCTGCTTAGTCAACTGAGTCATTCCCCTGTGCTCCCCTCCCTGGCTCCCCAGTCATTCCCCAGTCCTCCCTGGCTCTGTTTTACCACACAGATGGAGTCAGAGGAGGACCCCATCAAGGTCACCACGGAGGAGCAGCTGGTGCTCGTTTCCAGGGCCAAGGGTCATAGGGCCATACGTCGCGAGTCCACACACTTCATGTGCTCTCCTCCCATGCCCTTGCCCTGCTTCACCTCCACCGCACAGATGGAGTCGGAGGAGGACCTCATCAAGGTTACCACGGAGGAGCAGCGCGACTCCTTCCGCTCTCAGCTAGTCGACGTACGTTCACCTTCCCTGCCCCACCTGCCACTTCGTGATCCGAATTTGCTTTTGTGGCTGGTGTAGCTGCTGCTCTCAGCTAGTTGTTGTACGTGTTCTTCCCTGCCCCACCTGCCACTTCGTGATATGTGTTCCCTCATGTGATATAGCTGCCGTTTCACTATGTCCGGTCCGTTGTGCTTGAACGCCATGCTCCTTGTGGTGCGTACATCCTGCTCCGCATGGGTCTCGGGCGGAGGACTGGCTGTACATGGAGGGGGAGGACGCCAAGGCAACTGTTCTCAAGGCCAAGCTGTCTGGCTGAATGAATGAATGACTGCTTCCCATGCTTTTGGTGCTTTCTGTACTTGCTGTCTGCTATCTGCTGCCTGCTGTCTGCTGTGCGTGCATCTTAGGCGGAGGACTGGCTGTACATGGATGGGGAGAACGCCAAGGTAGCGGAGTTCAAAGCCAAGCTGGCTGACCTTAAGAAGACGGGAGATGCCTTCATGTTCCGGTCAGTGCTTGTGACCATTCCGGTCAATCAAACGCTTGTTCGGGCCAGCAACAATGCCTGTATTGTCCTTTCAGCCTTGCCTTCTCCCTTTCCCTGCTCACTTGTCAACAACCACATCTCCGCCACCCTCCACCCCCTTACCCCTCTGGTGCCTCGTCCGCCTCCTCTTGGTGCAGCAAGAACGAGCTGACTGCTCGCCCTGCTGCCGTTGGTGTTGGCCGCTCCTTTGCAGACTCCACTTATGATGTACGTCCCCGATCACCATCGCTTGATACCACTTAGCACCGCACACCACAGGCACACTCAGGCACCACAGGCACCGTACACCACTTAGCACCTTAACATAAATTCACCAAAAGATAGCATTCCACTGGTTGGCTGCGGTGCACTAGAATTTCCCCCCTAGTGGTACACACAGTCTGCGTTAGAATATTAATGTCATAGTTAACTGGCAACAGCTATAGCAGTCGCAGAAGTAACTAATGAGCGTGCTGTATTTTCCTGCCCCCCCCGCCCATCCATTTCAACAGCTTCTGGAGTCCTGGAGAACTGACAAGCCGTGGCTGAATGCCACCACTGACATTGACCCGGTATGTGTTCGAAGTGTACCTTTTAGCCGTCCACGACATCTTCTGTATGCGTGACCATCAATAATTTGTGTGGCGTACTGTTATGCAAGCTAGCAGTGGTTGGCATGCTCTTGCAGCATGCTGCTCTTTATCTCCCTTGCTCACTCGTTTTTTCTTGTTATGTGCTGATGCCATTAATTCGGCACTCTCTGTGTTCTGCCCTCTCTTCCTGTGCTACCATACACTTCTGCCCACCCCGCCCCTCTCTCCCCCTCTCAAACTTTCACAACACTTAGGTGCTGGCTGACGTGGAGGCTTTCGTCAAGTGGCTTGACGACAAGACAGCAGCTCAGTCCAAGTGAGTTGCCCGCTTTAGGCAAACATCTCACTCCAAGTGAGCTTGTTTGCTCAATTCAAGCACACAGCTCAGTCCGAGTTAGGTCCCAAGCCATGCCCTTACCCCCTCACCTGTCCTCTTTCTGCTGGGCTGCTTCTGGTAACTGCAGGAAGCGCCCTCATGAGGACCCAGCGTTTTCATCCAAGGACGTGTATAGCAGAGTGGATACTATTGAGGCCAAGGTACACTGGCTCAACTTCTTAAAACTTCTGGAATCTTACGACTTCAACTCCCTCCTAAAATTGTCAACCCTGCTCTTGTCGACCGCTTGGCATTCCATTCCATATATCTCACCCCATCTCTCTGTAATGACATTCCAGTTGACCTCATTTGCCACTTCCCTCCTTCGCACCCGATGCCTCAAAATGCCCTTATGCTGTATGCTCCATTCTACCCTCACATCCCTCGCTCCCGACCTGTGTCTCTGCCTCCTTGTTCCTCTCAGGTGAATCGTATCAAGCGCATCCCCAAGCCCAAGCCAAAGAAGGTCCCTGCGCCTCCTGCTTCCCGCAATGCCACCGCTGGCAACAGCACCAGCAACAGCACCAATAACAGCACCACTGATACGGACAAAAGCACACCACCGCCAGCTGACAGTGAGGCGAAGGGGAAGGCCGCTGAGTGGAAGGGTGTGCGAGATGAGTTGTGAGAATCAGAGCACCGCATTGCCATGGCCCATGGCCCTGTACAGGTGACTTTGGGCTATTCAGTTGCTAACCAGGTGCTTCATTGTCGGTTTGGTTGGATCAGCCTTCTCCCTTGAGGTGCTAGGATGATAATATTGTTGAGAAAGCAATGATTGATCTGCGTGGGGCGAACAATGTCGCACTGATACAATTATGTGACACAGCACGCAAACAAGGTCACTGTTTATGTGAAGGCTGTGCAAATTGAGTCTTGAAGTAATGTGCTTGGTAATTTGTTTGATTTTTAGTCACTTACATGCAGTTTGTTTCAGGACTGTTGGCAAGAAGTGTAACGGGGCTTTATAATTGATATTTCGCGCCTCGGGGAATTACTCCTCGGGATCGCCCTCAAACACGAGCGGCTGAGATCCCGTCTCAAATCCCGATGGGAAATGTCAGGAGATTGTCGAAGCCTGGTTGAGTTTCGCCACACCACCTACACAAACCAGCCCGTCGTCGCGAAATCACGCGATTGTTACCCCAGTGTCTCGCAGACCCGGAGAGCTGGTTCTTCTTCAGGCCAATCATGCTTCTGCTGCAGCCTTACTTTTATTCCGGCATGTGCCTCCCTACCTCGACTAAAGCTTGTCAGAAGCATTTCGAGTTTCCCGCTAACACCGCTCTCACGGCATCTAGAGCCAGTTGAGCGAGTCACAGCCAGAGGATAGCAAGTGCGGTGAACTTTTGGCGTTCTCGAGGGTACACCCCACCCCTTGTGACCATCACGTTGATTTTCAGAGATTTTTTGTGTGTGTGTGACAAGGACCGCACAAGTCAGCAAAAGTCGAGCAGTTTGAATATCCCTTCGATGTCAATCGCATATCTCCGATGACGTGGGCCAACCGGAGCTGGATTCGTGTGTTTATCCGCCATTTTGGCTCATCCATGAGTCCTTGTTGGCATTATTGGGACCACTTTAGAAGCCAGCTAGGCGATTTCGAACCGTAGAATCCTAGCTTCATTCCACCGTGGCGTAAGCGTAGTTGGACCAAACATCGAGACTCCAATTCCAGAGCCAATTTCGCGATAGCCCCACGGATAGGGCCCCGGATCAACCATTGAGCGTAGCCTCATTCCGCTGATTTGGTAGTTTGCCTCTCAGCAACCTCGTTTGGCCAAGCTCCTGCTCCCTTCTTCCCTGCTTCGCTAGGATCAGTTGGCTCATTTCACACTTCCGCGTTCTCCTAGAGGCTTTCAGTTCGTCGGGTTCCTGCTCCCTCTTTTCCAACACCAACATCACGACGCTTGTCGCTCAACTTCTCTGTTCGTTGGTCTGGTGTTCGCAGGTCAAGTCACCGGACTTCTCCCAACCTCGCTTTCGTCCCATCGATTTCATCCGCAGGTAACACCATTTTTTTTAACCCGCGTCTGTTTTTTTTCCGCCATGTTTATTTTTGTTCCAGCATATATTCTAACTGTTGCTGTTTTTCCTGTGCAGCTATGACATGGGTTTCCCGATTTCGAACCATTTGAAGCTCAAACGTGCAAGATCCACCGTGGCCCTGCTCCCTTTTTCCAACACCAACATAAAGACGCTTTTCGCTCATCTTCTCTGTTCGTTCTTTTGGTGTTCGCGAGTCAAGTCGCCCGACTTCTCCCAACCTCGCTTTCGTCGCCCGAGGTAAACGCCGTACAGTACTTGTTTACCCGCTTCTGATTCTTTTCCGCCATGTTTTTTGTTCCAGTGTTCAAACTATCGCTATTTTTCATGTGCAGATATGACATGGGTTTCCTTACATCGAACCGTCTGAAGCTCAGACGTGCAAGATCCTCCGTGGCCCTTCCACGACGCCGTTTGCCTTGATTGCTTCAGCGGTCTCGCCTTCCGCCTTCCGCCTCTCGCCGTCCATCCGCCGTCGAATTTCCGTCGTTTGTCGAATCGGAATCCGGCAATTCGACGTTCGCAATCCGCCAATCCGTTCCTAAGGTAAGTTTTTATTTTTGGTAATTCCATTTTCGTTCATTTCCCTCTTGCAGCTTGTACGCTTTGAGCTTGAACCATCTAATAACGGGATTTTTGGTTGCTTCGTTTTGCAGGCACGAGACACCACTCCACTGTAAGCAACAACAACAATCTGCTGACCTCTGGTGTCGACTACAATTTGCTGACCTCGACACAATCGTGGTGGCGTCATAGACTACATGCTGACGTAATCGACTGCATGCTGACGTCATCGACTGCATGCTGGCATCGTTATCTACAACAAGCTGACGCGGTTCTGCTCTGACCGGCCTTCGTCCGCGGTTCAGCCTTCGCACTCACCATCGTCCGCGATTTTTACCGATGAGTATTCCTTCCTTCCTACTGCTTCTTAACATACACCGTCGTTTCTCCCTCACATCACACCACCTCACAGCACGCTGATTGCTTTCCAGCCAAGGCGCGCCTGCAGGCCTCCCCCTGTCTCATTCCCCTAAGTCCGGGTTAGCGCCTTTTGCCTAGTTTCTCCAGCACTTGTACGCATGCCTTGCCGAGCTGTCCAGCTCTTGCCTAGCTGTCTTCAGTGTCCGTGCCTGTGGTCTGCAGTGCGCCGCCTTGGCTGGTTGCTTTCATGCACCCATCACTCGCACATCACGTGCATCTTCGCACATCAAGAACATCACTCGCATTCATTCGCACATCACGCATCCCCTTTAGCTGCCGCCTTCGCTCGGCGTTGTGACTCCACCCCCCTCCCCCTTCGCCCCCCCCCGACTCCCTCCCCTCCCTCCCATCCCAGGCTGGTCCCAAGTGAAGCGCCAGCAATCGGGCGGCCGGGCAGCAAGGGGAGCAGCGGGGCGTGGCGAGGGCATCAAGGCATGGCGAGGGAGACAGCGCCTTGGCTCATGAGACGGTGAAGGTTGAAGTATCACCCCCCGCCTCCCCTCACCACAGGAGCCCCCCCTCCCCCCCCCTCCCTCGGAAAAGGTTCAGCTTCAGGTGCCCGTGCCCCTCCTTCAGGTGTTTTTTTTTTGGTAAATGGCTCCTGTGGTGCACCACTTGCACTGCTTTCTGCCGATTTCGTTGTCGTTTTAACGTTTTGGTGCATCAAGTTACCGTTCAACGCGCTGACTAACTTCTCTCCTCGTCTTACTGGCAGGTTCTCTGCTCCAACGCCACCTGGACTGCCTGCCTCGCCCAACGCCCAAAGCCTCGCCCGGAGCCCAAGGCTCCTCTGCACGGCTGCGTCTACGTCTGCTCCTCTCCACGTCTGCTCTATCCTGCAAGGCCCTCCGCCCCAGCTCTCAAGGTAGCACCGTTGTCTTTCGCGTGGACGCTTTTCTGCTGCCATACCACGCCCTTACTAATGGCTCTCCTCGTCTGACCTGCAGGTTTCTCTTTGCCATCGCTCGCCCAACGCCCTTGTACTCGCGGACCTCCCAAGGGGGCACTTGCACGGAGGGGAGCAGCTGCCAACAGCACGAGCAGCAGAGCAGCAGAGGAGCAGAGGAGCAGAGGAGCAGCTTCGACGTCAAAGCAGGCGAAGGTTGAAGTATCGCCCTACTCACCACAGGAGCCTCCCCCTCCCCCCTGGTTGAGGTCGAGGTGCAGGTGTGGTACAGGTGCAGGTGCCCCCCCTTGAGGTACTCCCCCCTTGGTACCCGGCTCCTGTGGTGGGCTCCGTTGTGCTGCGTCGTTTTTTTAGAGCTTTGTTGCTTTGTTGCTGCTCTCCCGCACCTCACTAACTCGCTCCTTGTGTTCGATTGGCAGGCTCTCTTCTCCAAGACCACCTCGCCTGCTCAGCCGAATCCCCTCTGCCCGCCCACGCCTCCTCGCCTCACCCAAGGCCCCTCTACCCGGCTCTCAAGGTACCTTTTTCTTCAGCACGGATGCTTTCCTGCTCCACGCACGCACTAACTCTGTCCTCGTGTGACTTGCAGGTTCTCTCTCCAACACCAGCTCGCCTGCCTCGCCCCTTTCCAAGGCCCCTCAGCTCGCCCAAGGCTCTTCAAGGTCCCTCTGCCCCAGCTTTCAAGGTAACACACGTTTCCTTCAGCATGGATGCTTTCCTGCTCCCACGCACTCCCTAACACCTCCCTCCTCGTGTGACTCGCAGGTTCTCGCCTCCCTCACCCATCTGCACGGCCCCTCTGCTCGCCCGGGCTCTTCAAGGCTCCTCGCCGCCGCCCAAGGCTCCGCTGCCCCAGCTCTCTCAAGGTTGCGCCATATCCTTTAGCTCGGATGCTTCCCTGCAACCACACACTGACTAATGATTTCCTAGTGTGGCTTGCAGGTTCTCTCATCCAGCACCAACTCGCCTGCCTCGCCCCTTTGCCTGTGCAAGTGTCCTCTGCATGCCTCTGCATGCCTCTGCGCCTCTGCTCCTCTGCTCCTCTGCTCGCCCAAGGCTCTTCTAGGGAGCACCACGCCTGCTCGCTTCTCCCAAGGCCCCTCTGCCCCAGCTCTCAAGGTATGACTGTTCAGTTGACCATGGATGCTTGACTGCTCCCACGCACTCACTAACCCTTCTCTCCTCGTGTGACTTGCAGGCTCTTGCCTCCCTCACCGGCTCGCCCGTCTGCAAGGCCCGTCTGCCCGCCCAAGGGAGCACCACGCCTGGTCTTCTCCATAGCTAATCAGGTGAAGGTTGGAGTATCGCCCCACACGCCACAGGAGCCTCCCCCTTCCCTTGGTTGAGGTTGAGGTTCGGTACAGGTATAGTCACGGTTCAGGTGTCCCGGTGAGGTATTCTTCTTTGGTACCTGGCTCCTGTGGCCTACACGCCTCCTCCCTTCACTCCCACGCCTCTCTTCTCCAGCTTTCTGCCTTTTTTCTTAGCCTTCCCGAGCTGCCACACACTCACTAACTTTTCTCCGCGTGTGACTTGCAGGTTCTCCCCTCCAAGACCAACTTGCCCGCCTCGCCCCTCTGCAACGCCCCTCTGCTCGCCCAAGGCTCTTCGAGGGAGCACCGCGCCTACTTCACTCGCTCTAAATCCCTCTGCCCCAGCTTTCAAGGTAGCACCCGTTTCCGCTAGCATGGATGCTTTCCTGCTCCCACGCACTCACTAAATTCTCTATCCTCGTGTGACTTGCAGGTTCTTTTCTCCAACGCCAGCTCGCCTGCCTCACCCCTCTGCTCGGCCCCTCTGCTCACCCAAGGCCCCTCTGCCCCAGCTCTCAAGGTAGCGCCGTTTCCTTTCCTTTCCTTCTTTCTTGCACCTCCCACGCACTCACTCATTTCTCTCTACTTGCAGGTTCTCTCCTCCAACACCAACTCGCCTGCCTCGCCCCACTGCACGGCCCCTCTGCTCGGCCAAGGCTCTTCAAGGGAGTACCACGCGTCCTTGCCTCGGCTGAGGCTACTCTGTCCCAGCTCTCAAGGTAGTACCGTTTTCTTTAGCATAACTGCTTTCGTCCTCCCACGCACTCACTAACCCTTCTATCCTCGTGTGACTGGCAGGTTCTTTCCTCCAACACCAACTGGCCTGCCTCGCCCCACTGCACGGCCCCTCTGCTCGGCCAAGGCTCTTCAAGGGAGCACCGCGCGTTCTCGCCTCGGCTGAGGCTACTCTGCCCCAGCTCTCAAGGTAGTACAGTTTTCTTTAGCATAACTACTTTCCTCCTCCCACGCACTCACTAACCCTTCTCTCCTCGTGTGACTGGCAGGATCTCTCCTCCAACACCAACTCGCCTGCCTCGCCCCACTGCACGGCCCCTCTGCTCGGCCAAGGCTCTTCAAGGGAGCACCACGCGTCCTCGCCTCGGCTGAGGCTACTCTGCCCCAGCTCTCAAGGTAGTACCGTTTTCTTTAGCATAACTGCTTTCCTCCTCCCACGCACTCACTAACCCTTCTCTCCTCGTGTGACTGGCGGGTTCTCTCCCCCAACACCAACTCGCCTGCCTTGCCCCTCTGCAAAGCCCTTCTGCCCGCCCAAGGCTCTTCAAGGGAGCACCACGCGTCCTCACCTCCCCCAAGGCTCCTCTGCTCCACCTCTCAAGGCAGTCCTTTTCCTTTTTCTCAAATTCTTTCCTGCTCCTCCCACGCATTCACTGACTTCTCTCCTCGTCTGACTGGCAGGTTCTCGCCTCCAACACTCTCTCGCCCCTCCGCAAGGCCCCTCTGCAGTTGCAACGCCCTCTGCAAGGCCCCTCTGCACGGCCCCTCTGCACGTGCAACGCCCTCTGCTCCGACGCCAATGAGGTGAAGGTTGAAAGTATCGACCCCTTCCTCCACACGCCACAGGAGCCCCCCCCGTCCCCCCGTCCCCCTGGTTGAGGTTCGGTGCAGGTGTAGTCCCGGTTCAGGTGTCCCTTCAGGTCCCCCGTGAGGTATTTTTCGTTGGTACCTGGCTCCTGTGGCTCGCACGCCTCCTCCCTTCACTCCCACGCCGCACTTCTCCAGCCTTCTGCCGTTTTTTTTAGCCTTCCCCAGCTGCCACCCACTCACGAACTTTTCTCCGTGTGTGACTTGCAGGTTCTCTCCTGTCTCGCCCTTCTGCAAGGCCCCTCTGCTCGGCGAAGGCTCTTCAAGGGAGCACCACGCGTCCTCGCCCCCCCAACGCTCTTCTGCCCCAGCTCTCAAGGTATTACCACCTTCTTTTGCACGAATTCTTTTCTGCTCCTCCCACGCGTTCACTGACTCCTCTTCTCGTGTGACTAGCAGGTTCTCGCCTCTTGCCCCTCTGCACGTGCAACACCCTCTTCTTCGAAGCCAATCAGGTGAAGGTTGAAGTATCAACCCCTCTCCCTCCACACGCCACAGGAGCCCCCCCCCACCCCCCCCTCCCCTGGTTAAGGTTGAGGCTCGGTGCAGGTATGATTCAGGTACCCCGTACGGTCCCCCCTTAGGTGCCCCTTCAGGTATTTTTCTTTGGTACTCGGCTCCTGTGGCTGCCACGCCTCCTCCCGTCACTACCCCACCGCACTTCTTCCTCTTTGTGCTGTATTCTTCAGCCGTCCCCACTGCCACACTCTCACTAACTCTCTCCATGTGTTACTTGCAGGTTCTCTCCTCCAACACCAGCTCGCCTGCCTCGCCCCTCTGCAAAGCCCCTCTGCTCGCCACACCACACCTCCTCGCCTCGCTCTGGGCCCCTCAAAAGGTACTACATATTTTTCCAGCATGATTCTTTTCCTGCTCCCACGCACTCACTAACTTCTTCCTCGTGTGACTGGCAGGTTCCCTACTCCAAGACCAACTCGCCCCTCTGCGAGCCTCCCCTGCAAGGCTACTCTGCAAGGCTCCCCTACAAAACTCCTCTGCTCGTCCAAGGTTTTAAGGGAGCACCACGCCTCTTCCACTCGCTCGAGGGCGCTCTGCCCCAAGGTAACACCGTTGACTTTCGCATGGATGCCTTCCTCCTCCCACGCACTCACTAACTTCTCTCCCACGGCACTAACACCGTTTAACTGGCAGGCTTTTTCCGTTGGCACCAACTCGCCACTCTGCCTCAGCTCTCCAGCTCAGCAGCATGCGGACGGCTAGTTGGGGGGCAGAGGAGCGCAGGAGCAACGGTCCTCCGGCAGGCGGGCGGACAGCAAACGAGCAGCTCCAAAGCCAATGAGGTGAAGGTTGAAGTATCGCCCCCCCCTTCCCCCTCCACACGCCACAGGAGGCCCCCCCCCTTCCCCCCGGTTAAGGTTGAGGTATGGTACAGGTATGGTACAGGTATGGTACAGGTATGGTACAGGTATGGTACAGATATGGTACAGGTATGGTACAGATATGGTACAGGTATGGTACAGGTATGGTACAGGTGTCCCTTGAGGTATTTTTCTTTGTTACTTGGCTCCTGTGGTGCTCTGGTAGGCTCCTTCGATTCATTTTCGATTCCTGTTGAGCTGTCCAGCTCCAAAACACGCACTAACTCCCTCCTCGTTTGACTGGCAGGTTCTATTCTCCAAGTCCGCCTCACCCCACTGCTCGGCCCCTCCACTCGCCCGAGGCCCCTCTGCCCGAGCTTTGAAGGTAGCATTGTTCTCTTTAGAAGCACTGCTTGCCTGCTCCCAAGCCCTCACTGACGAACTCCTTCCTCGTTTGACTGGCAGCCTTTTGCCCGAGGCTCTTCCAAGGGAGCACCAAGGCTCCTCTGCTCGCCCACAACTCGAGGCTCCAGGCAGCAGCCTTCCTCTGCTGCGCACCCAGATAAGTCTCCACCACTCCCTGCCCTCCGCTCCTTGCTCTCGTGCTTCCGGCCTTGGCGGGCCCCTGCCTTGGCTCCTCGCACTGCCATCGTCATCCACCCCACTCCCCCCCACCCCAAACACCCCTCCCCCCTTGGTGGCTTGCCACCCATCCACCTTCCACGGAGCCTTCCCCCCTTGGTTCAGGTACAGGTGCAGGTATGGTACTTGGCTCCTGTGGAGGTTGGAGAGGAAGGCACTGCACCATGTGCCATCCCTTGCCACCTCATCCCATCACCCCATGCGCACACCATCACCTTGCTCGTTCCGTTGCATGCACTCATTCCGCCCCTTGTGTCTTCACTCACTCTTCCCCCCCCCCCCCTTCCCCCCCTACCCCCCACCCCCCCCCCTCTTCCCCCTTGTCTGCCAGAGGCTCTATTTCAACCAAGTCTTGAGGATGCTCCAACGCTCACAGCGCCAACACTGGAAGCAGTGCAACACTCCAGCCGGCGCCAAGTCGATGGCAGAGCCAAGTCTCAACAAGGGAGCGCCCAGGCTTGCAGCAGCAGGCGCCCTCGCTCCACTGCCAGATAAGTTGCGACCCTCTGGTACTCCCAACCCTTTCCTCTTCAGCATGCCGCAGCTGTCGTATCCAGTTCACTGCCATGCCATGCCATCCCCCCCGCCCTTGGTGGCGTGCCAACCACCCTTCTCGGAGCCTCTCCCCCCAGGTAACGGTTCAGGTCAGGTTCAGGTTCAGGTTGAGGTGCAGGTATGGTACTTGGCTCCTGTGGAGGTGTGGGAAGCACAGCACCATGCTCCGTCATGCACCATCCCATGCGCACACCATCACCTCTCTCGTTTCCTTGAATGCATGCATTTTGCCCCTTGTGCCTTCACTCACTCACTCACTCACTCACTCACTCCCCCCCTCCCCTCCCCCGCCCCCCCCCCCCCCGTGGCTCTTCTTCAAGCCAAGGCTCGTCCCTGACACAACCAAGACTCGAGGAGGCTTCAACACTCAAGGCAGCGCCAACCGAGGGAGCATCAAGCGCTAGTTCTAAGGGGGCGCCAGGTCTAAGGGGGGCGCCATGTCGGAGGGAGCATCAAGGCTTGCAGCAGGCGTCCTTGTCCCTCTGCCAGATAAGTCGCCAGAAACGTACTCCCAGCCCTTTCCCTTGCAGCTTTCTGCAGCTGTCGCCTCATCCCCCCCCCTCCCGTGCACTTGGTGGCGTGCCAACCACCCCTCCACGAAGCCTCTCCCCTTGGTAACGGTTCAGGTTGAGGTTGAGGTATCAGGTCTGGTAATTGGCTCCTGTGGAGGGAGTGGGAGGCGCTGCACCATGGCTCATCTCATGGCATCTCACCATCACCTCGCTCGTTCCCTTGCATGCACACTTTGATTCAATTGTCGCGTCGCACTCACTCTGCCCTTCCTGCCATCTCCCCTCCCCCCCCCTCCTCCTCTGACTGGCAGAGCTCGTTCCCAGTAATGGCGGCACTTGGTGGGCGGCGGGCGTGTCGTCCTGGATGCGACTCAAGTCCCAAGTCAACGAGCAAGGGCCCCCTCATTGAGGCGCGCTGGCGGGGTGAATGTGCCTGCCAACAGCACTGGCAGGCGCCTGCTATCCCCAAACCTCCAGTAAGTGCCACCTGGCTTCCTTCCTCTCGCCCGAGTGCCTCTCCTCGGACACCTTGGTGCCGCATTGGCACTTGTATTCACCTGAACACTCGCTGTTTGCTTTGAAAGGCTTCCTCCCATTGCCCTTGAATCGCTTCCCTCCAACCCCCTCTTCCCTTTAGGACTGCCTGCCCGGACAACGCCTGGACAACGCCTGGACAACACCTGGACAACACCTGGACAACACCTGGACAACACCTGGACAACACCTGGACAACGCCTGGACAACACCTGGACAACACCTGGACAACACCTGGACAACACCTGGACAGCCACTGGACAACACCTGGACAACACCTGGACAACACCTGGACAACACCTGGACAACACCTGGACAACACCTGGACAACACCTGGACAACACCTGGACAACACCTGGACAACACCTGGACAACGCCTGGACAACGCCTGGACAACGCCTGGACAACACCTGGACAACACCTGGACTGGACAACACCTGGAAAACACCTGGACAACACCTGGACAACACCTGGACAACGCCTGGACAACACCTGGACAACACCTGGACAACACCTGGACAACACCTGGACAACACCTGGACAACGCCTGGACAACACCTGGACAACACCTGGACAACACCTGGACAACACCTGGACAACACCTGGACAACACCTGGACAACGCCTGGACAACGCCTGGACAACGCCTGGACAACACCTGGACAACACCTGGACTGGACAACACCTGGAAAACACCTGGACAACACCTGGACAACACCTGGACAACGCCTGGACAACACCTGGACAACGCCTGGACAACACCTGGACAACACCTGGACTGGACAACACCTGGAAAACACCTGGACAACACCTGGACAACACCTGGACAACGCCTGGACAACACCTGGACAACACCTGGACAACGCCTAGACAACACCTGGACAACACCTGGACAACACCTGGACAACGCCTGGACAACGCCTGGACAACACCTGGACAACGCCTGGACAACACCTGGACAACGCCTGGACAACACCTGGACAACACCTGGACAACACCTGGACAACGCCTAGACAGCCTCTGGAGGCTTGAAGTGCTGCCGCCGTCAGCCCATTTCGCCCCATCTTTAAGACCAAGGTAACCCTCCTCACCCCTGCTCCCTCATTTCGCCCTTCACTTACCCACTGCTGCTTTCCCCGCATCTGTTTCAGCCCTCACTTGCTCATGCTTGCTGCCCTGCCTTGCTCTTGGACCATTCGTCACCTGTCACTTACTAACCTCTTTCTCTTTCTCTCCCCACCTCCCCCCAGCAGGTGGCTGGCGCAGTGGTGGTTGGTAGTGGCAATGGTGGTGGGAGTGCCATGGGCGGTTGGCAGTGGCAGTGTCGTGTGGAGGGGCCATGCATGAGTTTGAGGGGAGACCCTTGAGGTTGTCTGAGAACTTGAACCCGGGCCGGACCGGGGCTGGTTGTGGCGGTGCACCACTGGCTGGCCAGCAGTGGTGTCACCAGGCGGGGGGAGAGGGCCCAACCAGCCCCTTAGAAGGGCACCCGGATGTCTTGGGACCAGCAACTCTGACGGTTCACCCTCGCTCTCTGCATGGGTGCATGCCAGTCCGTGCCGGGGTGGGCATGGATGGCAGCTGGGTGGTGTGTGTTGGAGTAAATCAAGTGTACTTCAACAGTGTGGTGGGGGATGAAGGCAAGTGGAGGAAGGTGGGGAGAGAGGGAGGGAGGGAGGGAGGGAGGTGGAGAGCCGGTGCTGGTAGGCCATGGTGCAGTGCAGACGTAGCAACACAAGCTGCAGATGCGTGCCATGGCCGTACCAGCTCCATGCACATGGAACCATGCATGGCTGAATTTGCCAGCTGTCAGGTCAGCTTTGCTAAAGCAAACCAGTAGGTTGTGAATGTATGGTACAAGTTGCTCTATATGATCACATTGTGCCATGGTGCTCCCACAGCATGAGTTGCCACCTGGCTGTCTGCCACCATACATTGCTGTATCTGCCAGCTCTCAGACCAGCCTTGCAGCACAGTAGGCTGAGAACGGTACAGAATGTAATTGGTTAAGACCAGGCCTGTCGTTATCAGGGTATTTTACCCTGATTCCCTGATTTCACAAGGTATTTTTTTGGCCAACCCTTAATTTTCAGGGTTGGGTTTTTTTGAACCCTAACCTCTTCAGGGTTGTATGTCTGTGAACACTTCAAATTTCAGGGTTTGCGTTATCCCAACACTGAGTTTTCAGGGAGTAACGCGTACGGACCCTGAATGCGACATCCATGCGGAACCTGAGTTTCCTCGAAATGGCCCCCTTACGCGTGACGGGGCCCTGTCCATTGAACACGCCCAGCATGCGTCACGTGGGGAATCTGCACTCGGCAAGATTCCCGCCGTGTACACGCTGTATGTTGCCATTACAGCAACATTTGCAACCGTCAACTGGCATTCGTGACTCAGCACGCAGCAGACGAGGACAGAATATGATGAGCGCGGCAATGTCAGCCTCTGTATGACATCACCCCACCAATCATCTCTGTGCAGACGATGCCAGCGCAGGTGCGTCTCGCCGTTGACGGTATCGCCATGGCGATACGGGAACCTGGATGGGTTATGCACCATCCATGAAATTCGAAAGATGGGGCTTCTTGGTCCTCTTCCCGTCTTCTTCACCAGCTCCTCCTCCAACCCAGTTTTTTTCTGTTCTTCACGTCACAGCTACGAGATGCTCCAGTCTTCTGTCTCCTCTAGTTTCGTCGCGCCGATTTCTCATTTCCATCATATCCGCCGCTTCTTGCCATGGCGGATGTAGGAGACTCTGGTGAGTCTCCCACTGCCGATGATGGTTCTGGACTAGGTAGGGACCCCCCCGTGGAGGTCAGTAGATCCGCTCTAGACATCTTGCGGTCTCCCACCGCAGTCGTTACACCATCACAACCCGTATCTACTCCCGCCGCTCCCTATGTACCTCCGCCCGCTGTCGCCTCATCTAGCCGGGGCCCTTTGGTTCCAGACTGCGAGACAGCCACGACCGTGCGTTACACGGTCGAGTGTGCGTCAACGATTTCATCTGGAAAGAAAGCACGCGTCGAGCAGTACACCCAGAGCACGATAGTCCTCGGCGGGAAGCTACATCGACGGTCGCCGCCTCGCACGTCGCCTGAACCTCAGGCCCCTGGTATTCTAGAACCCGAGCCGCCGAATCTCTCAAAGAAGGAACTCATCGAGCAGAAGTATCTCATGGCTGAGCACAAGTATAAGACCAGCTGGCTTCCATTTTTCCCTTGGCTTCTGCTAACGAAAACGAAAGACGGTTACCCTGCTTTGAAGTGCAGTGTGTGCAAGGCTTTCGGCAAAGAGACAACACCGTACTCCAACAGCCGCGACGGGGCACGTGGCCTGCAGACGCAAGCGATGTTTCACGAACACACGACAGCCCACGAAGTAGCAGTCAAGCGTCAGATGGAGATCGCCGAAAACATCGCCAGCACCCAGAGGCGCATGGAGAAGTACGCACGGATTGACATCGAGGGGAAGCGCGTCATGAGGCTCCTACGCTGCGTCGACTTCCTGCGCAAGTGTGATGCACCCATCAGCATGTACCCGAGGCTACTCCGCTTCATGGCTGAGCAGGAGACACCGGACATTCCGCTGCAGTCTTACGGAGTCTACCTGACACGGTAATGCACTTATTCGAAGTACACCATGTCCTTCATTTTTCAAAAAGGTCTAACCAACACCTTGTTGTCACTTCTGGTACTACAGGTATGGCTTCTGTCAGCTCGTCAGCAGCCTGGCAACCTACCTGCAGCGCCGACAAATGCACTACATTCTCGCCTCACCCTACCTCGGCATCAGCTGCGACGAGAGCACTGACCGTACTCGCGGTAAACATCTTATTGTTTATCTGACCTTCTTGCGTGCGCATCGTGTTGTCACAGAGTTTTTTGCTCTCTTGACCGTCGAAAAGTGCGATGCCGCGTCTCTCCTCGCCGTTCTTCTGGCTCACTTGCGAGCAACTGGCATCGACCTCTCCCGAATCACCGGCATGAGCACCGACGGCGCCTCTGTCATGGTCGGCCGAGGCAATGGTCTCGTCGCCCGACTTCGCGAGCACATCCCCCACCTCGTCTCGTCGTACTGCATCGCCCACAGGTTTAATCGCACGTCATTTCAGTCGCTTAGGGTTCCTACAACTACTTGTCTAAAATTCCTTCATGTGCACCATGCAGGGAAGCCTTGGCGGTGAAGGACGCGGCCACTGCTTCTCCAGACTTCGACATGGTCGACCTTGTGATTCGGACTCTGGTCGATCTTCTGGGACGTTCATGTGTCTGGAGTCAACGCTTCAAGTACCTGCAGCGGGCAATACACAACACCAACCTTGAAGTGCAAGGAATTCACACCGTGCGCTGGCTTTCAAGGGGTGAGGCTGTGAGGCGCCTCTGTAAGGTCCTTGGCGCCACTATCATTCTCTTTTATGAGTACGGGCATGAGCTGTATGAGGTCGTCATATGTTACAAGTTCCAGTTCTGTCTTTTTTTCCTGGCGGACGTGCTCGGAGTGATGAATGAGCTCAACCTCAAATTCCAGAAGAGGGAGGTGAGCTTCTACCACTGTGGATGTTGTAGTTTTTGTCCCATGCATCCACGTTTGGAATCACCCTCTGACTCCACTCCCTTGTCTGTCACTTCCATCAGGTCGATGTCACCGAAGTGACAAAGGACATCGACGAGGCGACAGGGGACCTCCGCCACTGCTACTTGGAGAGCGGAGAGGTGTTCGGTGGGGGTGTCGAAGGCACGTGGCTTTCGGCTTTCTTGGCGGTCTACGGGCGCGGAGGGGGCAAACGCGTAAAGGTGCGGGGCATCGACAAGGGCGGCAACCCAGTCACGCACACCTACACCATGCACGAGAAGCAGATCGACGGGCATGCCTTCCACAGCAAGTACCCCGATTGCGAGCGGCTCTGCGCGCAGTTCGCGAAGGACACGATAAGCTTCCTGAAGACGAGGATGCTGGACCTGAACAATCTCGGCCCGACGAAGCTCTTCCGCGTGTCTAAGTGGCCCCGGATGAAGCAGCAGAGAGAGAAGAAGCTGAAGGAGTACCTACATGGCTGCAGTGCCTTGTTCGACAACAGGCTGACAGGCTTTTCCTTGCAAGCTGCACAAAAGGAGCTGGTCTCGTGGGCGCCACTGATGCTGAGCCACCATGCCGACGAGGGATTCCATCAAGGCCTGACGAACTACCTCGGCTCGACGGAGTCGACCTTGTGAGAGAGTGCTGCTCGAAGGACGATTGTTGCATTTTTTTTGGGCGGTTTTATTCTTCCCTTTGGATGTTGTTGTTTATCGATTGTTGACTAGCATCGCTAATGCACTGGTCTTGTTCCGTGTACTCTGTTCCCCCAACCCTTTTGGCAGGCGTTGGCCGAACCTCATGCGCTTGTGGCAGGCGTGCGCTGTCCTGCCGCTTAGCACAGTGGAGTGTGAATGAGGCTTCTCGCGGCAGAACGTCATCAAGTCATGGGTGCGGGGCGCGTTGTGCAATGCGCGCCTCAGCGAACTGATGGTCATTTCCCTGCTGCAGTACGAGACTGACTGGGACGAGGCCCTTGGGTGTTGGCGCGAGAAGCTGAGGCGCCCTGCTAAGTTTGTTCTGTTTGCCGCAGCGGAGAGGAAGCGTAAGGCGAAGGCGATTGAGGGGGCAGAAGTGAGGGTGGAGGAGGAGGCAGTCCCCGACTACATGGGGGATTGGGCAGAGGATGAGGGAGAGGGGGAGGGGGGAGTGGGGGGAGAGGCTCCTCCTGAAGTGGAAGACAACCCCTTTCTGTCCGATGACGAGGCAGAAGACGAAGTGAACATGGATTGCCCCGAATTTTAGTCAATTGTAGCTAGTGGCGTGGAATATTGTGAAGTCTAGACTAGATAGAGGACTTGTAGACTGGCGTGGCGTAGTGGTGCTTTTACTTAACTAGTAGCTGTACATTCCTAGTTGATTTTTTCCGAGAGCAATGCAACCCTGATTGTTGCTAGCCAACCCTAAAGGTTTCAGAGAAATCAGGGAAGTCATAATTCCAACACTAGGCCCTCAGGGTAATTTTTTTTCCACATTCGACAGCTCGGGGTGCTTTTTTTTGAAACGTCAGCCCTAGTTAAGACCATGTTGCGCCATGGCCTCAAGCACAAATGCATCGCAGAATATGGGCTGTCCTTTAAGCGGCACAATAATTATCGTATCTTGATCTCTACATTTGTAAACATGTGTGGTGCAGAATGATTAGTCAGGTGGTATGGTAGGTTCCCTGTTTTTGTGTGATAGAAAGCAGAGAGGAAAGGTTTGTTTGGAACAAATAACGTTCTGGGTTGGAGCAACGCAATTCAAAAGGAGGACATGTTCCATTTGCATGTTCTCAGCCTTTTTCGGATGTCAGGCCAAATAATACTACAGTTAACAGAATAATTGGGAACAGATACATTGCACCTTAATACTTCGAAAAACGTAGCTAGGTCTTCGAACTACCGATGCATAGCTAATACTTTGCCCTATGCGAAGGCAAACCTCAGAGCAGCACTCACACCAACCACCCTAGCAACAGGCGCTCCTGCCTTCACCGAACCAACCGCTGGCGTTCGGAAAGACCCAGCCCGAGGCACAGACAGGTGCAGGGTTGGAGCAGCGAGGGAGCGGGCGTGAGTGAAGGGAGTGCAGTAGGGCAGAGAGGAGGGGATGGCATGCCTCTGTGGGATGGCCCGGGACTTGTGCTGCGTCCTGCGTGTCGTGGGGCCGGAGGGGTAGCTAAGAGAGCCAGCTGTTGAGACAGACGGGAACGAGGAGATTGGGAACATGAGGACGGAGATAAATGAGGGGGTTACTCAAGAGCAAGCAACCTGAAGTGATTTGTGTGCAGAAGCTTCAGAACTGACCACAAAAAAGAGCGCAAGATTAGAAAACCATTTGTTCCCACTTACTGCAGATAAGGTCGTTGGAGCCGCCCGTCCAGCGTGCACCTCTGGATTGTGTTTCAGAGCCGAGCACAGTTAAGAGTGCAAGCTTCTATGTTATTGTTTATTCCACTTACTGCAGATGAGGTCGTTGGAGCCGCCGTCCAGAGTGCACTCCTTCACATCCTGCAGCCCCACCAGGTCTGACGCCTCCCCTCCCACCCCTGCCGCTCCTGCCGCCCCGTTGCCTCCTGTCGCCACGCCATTCGTCGCCTTCCCGTCGCTCGCACCCTCAGCAGCATCCTCCATAAAAGCCACTCCGAATTCCGCTACAACGCCGTCAGCCTCCTCCAGAGCAGAGAGCATGCCGTCAAGCGACACACAGCACACCGGCACCTGCGGCACCACATACTCCTCCGCCCCCCCTGCTGCTCCCCCTCCCACTCCCTCCCCCGCACTCCCTCCCCACCCTCCTGCTCCTCCCCCTGCAGCAGCTGCCGCTATCCCCTCATTGTCGCTCTCACTCCCGCTCTCCTCCTCCCCGTCCTCCTCCCCGCTGTCGCTGCTGGAGGTCGTGCTCTCATAGCAGCAGTGCGTGCCCCGGTACTTATCTAAAAGCTTAAACGCGTTACTGTTATAGAAATCCGTGAACTGTAGCAGCAGGCTCGGGTTCCAAACGCGTACAGCGCCCAGCAGCTCAGCAAGGATGTCATTGTAACGAGATGGCTTCAAACGGGGATGGGAGAGCCCCCTGTAGCCGGATTCAGGCGCCAGCAGGGCAGGGTTATCCGTGCCGGTATCCAGGCACACCAACAGGCACCGGCTCGGATCCAGGTTTGGCCACGCTGCCGCTGCAGAGGAAAAGAGCGTTGCCACGGCTGTAGCACCGGCTGTAGCAGCAGCAGCTGAGTCAGCATTACTGTTCCCACCAGTGTGACCCAGCACGACCTCAGCATCCACGACGAGAACAGCGTCCACGTCAGTCCCCACCTCCGCCCTCTGCTCCGCCCACCGCTGCAGGCGTTGCAGCATGTGCCCGCGGTCCTTGGCACGCAGGTACACCCCCCGCATCTCCTTCAGTCGCCCCCCTGCAGCGGCACCAGAACCAGCAGCAGCAGAGGCGGGGAGCGCAGCAGGCTTGATGAAAACCGCGACGCCGTTCTCCTTGAGCCGCCTGTCCAGCAGATACTGCTGGAAGTCGCGGCACATGTCCGCCAGCTCCGCCATGTCCCCCGCGCTCACCTCCACCTCCGGCCCCCCCGGCATGTGCAGATGCTGGTGCACCACGTCCTGCAGCTGGCTCGGCTCCGCCTGCCCCGCGCCCGCGCCCGCCTTCCCCGCCCCATCCCCCGCCGCTCCCCCTGCGCCCGCCCACCCCTGGCGCTCCTCCGAGTCGCTGGGGAGGCGGGGGAGCGCGAGGGGGCCGTGCGGGTGCGGGTGGTACATGCTGGCGCGCGCGTGGCGCTCCCACTCCGCCACGGTCCCCGCGCCCACCGCGGGCGGGGGGGTGCCCAGCCCCTCCGCCACCATGAACTCCGATATACGCGCTATAAGCAGCGGGACGAGCGCCTGAAAGAGGAGAGGACCGGGGGGGGGGAGCGAAGGGAGCACGGCGCAAAGGAGAGGGGAGAGAGGGATGAGCACTGAGAGGCATTGTAACGGCGTCTTATTCGTCCTATTGTAACAGATAATTTTAATGTTTTTACAGACTGAGGTTATTATCCTGGATGGATTCTTGTGTTGTACATGCGTGGCCGATAGGTTTGTACGCGTTACTAGCGAAGGGAAGCGCGTACCCTCATGGCAGAGAGCGAGAGGAGCCACACGTGCATACGTACGCGGTGGTCTGTGCGTTAATGTTTAAGAAGTTAGCCCCCACCATCAGAACGGAGAGGGAGGGTTGGGGCGAATGCGCTTGCATTCATGGCGGAGAGCGAGGGGATCCACGCTAGCATCTACATACGCGCTTGCTTTAGTACGCGTTAAAAGTTCAAACCGAGGAAACGGAATCCCACCTTCATGGCGGAGAGCGAGGGGAAGAGCATTCCGCGGTCGAGGTGCGCCTGCGGCGTGAGTTGCGCCAGGAATTCCGCGGTCGACAGGAACACGTCATCCGTGATGCTGCTGCACCTCGTTAGGAGCGCCGCCATGCCGATCGGCCCGAACACGTACGCGTTATTAGCCTGCGCGGGGTACATCGTCACCTTCCCCCCGCCCGGCTCCGCGGATTCCGCCACCAGCGGGGGGAACGGGCTCCCGCTCGCGAACACGACGCGCCCGCCGGTGTACTTGAACGCCTCCTTATAAGAACACTCCGCCTTGGACGTGGGGTTCGAGAGCGGGAAGACCACGGGCCGCTCGTTGTAGACACCCATCGCTTCAATCACCTCCTTGGAAAACGCGTTCGCCTGAGCCGACACGCCGACGAGCACCGTCGGGCGGAACTCGTGGACGGCTGAGATTAAATCCGGCTGGAACGGAAGGTCGTGCGCGAACGGAATCTTGTGGTCCTGCAGCTCCCCCTTGTCCAACCGCTCCTTGCACACGAGCCCCTTGGAGTCGATAAACAGGCACCGCTGCCGCGCCGCGGCGAGATCCAATCCGCACCGTCGGTTCATCGCCTGCGCGATCAGCTGCGCGATGCCCGTGCCGGCCTCCCCCGCGCCCAGGAACAGAATGCGCTGCTCCTCGAGCGGCCGCCCGGTCACGCGGAGCGCGGAGAGCAGCCCCGCGAGCGTGATGCACGCCGTGCCCTGGATGTCGTCGTTGAAGCAGCACTGCGTGTGCTGGTACCGCTCCAGCAGCCGAAACGCGTTGCAGTTACCAAAGTCCTCGAATTGCAACAGCATGTGCGGCTTTAACGAGCGCGCCGCGGTCATCAGCTCGTCCACGAGCTCGTCGTACTCCGGCCCGCGCAGCCGCTTCTGCCGCAGGCCCTTGTAACCCGGATCCGCTAGTAGCTTCTCGTTATTAGTCCCCACGTCCAGCATCACCGGGAGGGCGCGGCGCGGATCTAACCCCGCCATCGCGGTGTAAAGCAGGATCTTCCCCTCGCTGATCCCCATCCCCCCCGCGCCCTGGTCCCCCAAACCGAGGATCCGCTCCCCGTCCGTCACCACGATCGCGCGGATCCCGCTGTGCGGCCGCGCGGCGCGGAGAAGCTCCAAAAACCGGCCCTTATCCGCGGGAGTGAGGTAGATCCCGTCGGGCGCGATCCCGAGCTCGTGGTAGCGCTGGCAGGCCTCCCCGACCGTCGGCGTGTAGATGTACGGAAGGATCTCCTCGGTGTGGTCCATCAGCAGGCGGAAGAAAAGCTCCTCGTCGGCTTGGCGCGTCGCGCGGAGGTACATGTAGCGGTCGATATCCTTCGGGAGAGCGGAGAGCGCGGAGAGCACGGCCTGCTCCATGCTCTCGCACTCCGCCTCCTCCTCCGGAGATTCTAGCAACTGGTCCGCGTTGACCAGCGCGACTTTTGTCGGGAGCGGCGCGGAGAGCTGGCAGAGCGAGCCGACGTAAGTCGCGGCGGAAGTTGCGGTGCCGTTGCCGTTCTGTGCTCTGCCATTGCCGGCTTTCGCGCTGCCGTTCGTCGCGATCGCCTCTTCGGTTGAATTCGAAGAAGGTTTCACAACCGGGTCGGCAGCAGGGGATCCGTCAGCCGGAGCCATTTCCAATTTTAGGAATGAGGACAACTGTAAATATGAGGGCAAGGGTGTTTTCAAGCACTCGAAAAGCGGACGCGAGTCAGGAGTAACTATTTGTCGCTCGCCTGGAAAATGCAGTTAGCAGTTATACCTATTCAACTAAATCCTTCGCTCAGACTATCTCAGGTAACTGCGGAACAGAAGTGATCACAATGGCTCAGACTGATCGCACTGGCTTTCTGTTTATGCTCGATCAGAAGGAGGTCTTGCAGCAGAAGCGAGCCTGCTTCAGAGCCACCAAAAAGAAACGCCTTGAGCGAGAAGCAAGGAAGCCGAACGAAGCTGGAGGGCGCCGAAGGAAGCCTCATTCCGGCTGGTCGGATCAGGGTAGGAGGCGCCATGGCTGGGGGATTTCGCGGTGGGGAGAACCGCGGGAAGCCACGGGGGGATGGGGGGGCGGGGTGGGGTGAGGAGGGAGCTGTAGGGCGTGGGAGCTGGTTGCTTCGCTTCGCACACGGCGTCAGCCAATTGGATTGCGGCGGCTGATGAGCTGGGAGCTGATTTGGCTCGGCGGCGCTGTTGATGCCGAGCCGAACTGACGTGCCGCGGTTACTCTGCCCTGCTCTACCTGACCTGAACGACCTGCTCATGCTTTGGCGCAACTGGTTTCGTGAACGCGATGTGGCAGTGGACGGAGCAGGTGTGTGAGGATTTCGCGAAGCTGACTTCGCAAGGAGCAAGCTCAGGTGGAGGAGAAACGAGCGAAATCCTTCGCGACTTGGAAAATTTCGTGTGTATGGCGGGTGGTCGCAGAGGTGGGTGGGAAAGTGTGAGGGATCTCGCCCAATCACAGCCCATGACTGCGAAAGGAGGCCTTTTCGGGAGCCGCGGATTCGTTCGTTCAGGTCAGGTGGGCTGCCCTGACGGCGAATCCGGCCCACACAGCTACTAAGGAAAACGCCAACGCTGCAGATTTAATAACGAAATCGGCGATGGAAAGTGCCCGATTCGCTGGGCTTGGCAAGCTTTCCACGCGTTGCGGATTCGCACGACCTCTGGCCACTCACGATCCATGATTTTTCCGCGTCACCCAAAGTTGCTGCTGAGTCGGTTTGCTGATTGGATGAGATGATCAAGGTGCTTTCACGCCACCCGCCGAACGTGTTGCTGGCGAGCCGCATCCTCAGGCCTCAGTGTGTTGGGTGGTTTGGTTTGTGGTGTCTGACAATGAGGCACCACACCAACGGCAACATGGAATTTCAAATGGTTACATCAGCCAGTATAATAGGAAAAACTAATGTCTTCTAAATATACTGGGAACTCGACTGTATACAACCTGGATTGGCTAATGGTAGCAATATGAAGGAACCTGCTTCCTTATTTCCCACTATGCAGTGAAATGCCCATGGAAAATTATACTATTAACCACATGAATTCCCTATTCATCTGGGCCTGATTCATCAGAATCTCTATCCCACTCATCATCATCAAAATCTACTTCATCTTCATCCTCCGTATCATCTTCGTCATCATCATCATCCTCATCGCTGAAGCTATCCGGATCATCATCCGACGGCCCCTCCATGATCAAATCCATCAGCTCCTGCGCCGCCTCGTCATCATCCTCCGAATCGCTCCCCAGATACTCCCCCTCCTCCACCTCCCCATTCATCACCCCCCGCCCACCACCACCCCCCCGCACAGCCCTCACCCTAGGCTGCCCAAACCCATCCTCGTCCTCATCCTCGTCCAAATCCTCTGAAAACCCACCGCCAAACAGCTCCTCCTCAAGGCTATCAAACTCCTCCTGCTCATCATCCTCCTCCTCCTCCTCCCCCTCGTCCCCCTCGTCCTCCATCTCCCCTTCATCCTCCCCGTCGAAATCCCCAAGCTCCTCAACCACCCGCTGCCTCCCCACCTCAAACACCCGCGCGACAGAATCTGACTCCCCGTGCTCATCTACAGCCACCACTGCCACATACGAGTCGGTTGGCTCTATGGCCAAGTCCAGCACGCACCGGTCCACGTTCACGGTCGCGATGTCGGTGTACGAGGTGGCGTCGATGGTCTTGAACGCTGAGAAGAGTGGGTGCTTGCGCCGCCGCCCGTGCAGCGCGGCCAGGAGGTCGTCGCTGGTGCGGCGCAGCGTGGCGTAGATGACTTCGCCCGTGGTGTTGAAGGTGATGCATGTCTGGTCGAGAGAGGGTACACTGCGGAGAAGCTTCCTTGTTCGCAGATCCCACACTTCCGAGTTGATTATCACCTGGTGAGGTGGGAATGGGGGGGGGGGGAGAGGGGAGGGGAGGGACATGATGGAGGAGAGGGAAAGAGAAGAACGTTTCAGAGAGATTTTTGAGTCGACTCAAAAATCGTTTCAGAGAGAGAGAGAGCAGCGAGGAGGTCGTCGCTGGTGCGGCGCAGTGTGGCGTAGATGACCTCCCCGATAGCGTTGAAGGTGATGGAGCTTAGGTCCAGGGAGGGCACGCTGCGCAGGAGCTTTCGGGTTCGCAGATCCCACACCTCGGGGGATTATGGGGTAGGGTGGGGGAGGGACAGTGTGCAAGAGAAATCTGGGAAGCTTCCTGGTAAGGATGCCATGCTGCCGATCCCATACCTCACACAGAACCGTGCAGCACCCATTGGAACGGAGGACCCACACACACACACTGACCCACACACAAAAGAACACCCCACACACTCACCTCGTTAAGAGAGGGGTGGAAGCCCCCCTCCCCTGAAATTTGATGTGGCACCCACCGCACAGAAGGAGGTGCTGCTCGTACCGGCATTAACCCAGGCCCAACCTCAACCCCATATTCGCTCAACCCAAGCTCCCAGAGAGATGAGTTGGCTTTGGAAACTTCTCAGAAACAAACTCCCCACAAAACCAGTCAACCAACCCACTGACCTCGTTGCCTGAGGGGTGGAAGCCCCCGCCCCCATAATCCGAGAACTGGTCGAAGCGGTGCACGGGCTCACTGATCCTGGGGTCCCACAGATACCCGTTCCACAGCAGCAGGTCGTCCAAAGGGGCGAAATGCACTGCCTGCGACCCTAGCGCGCGGCTCACTCCCACCCCTCCTCCACCCATTATAGGAACACCAGCAGCAGCAGCAGCAGCGGCGGCGGCACCAGTAGTAGCGGCTCCTCCTGCCCCTGCGAGCCCCATCCCAAACCCTCCAAACCCTCCGTACCCGCCAAAACCGCCGAAGAGACCGCCAAAACCACCATTTCCACCGCGAGCACCACCCAGACCCCCCCCACCAATCCCACCAAGCGCACCACTCGCACCACCACCACCGGCAGCACCACCCAGAGCAGCAAAGGCATCTGCAGCAATTGGTGCTTCCCTAAGCGTTTCCTGCAGCCTGCCTGTTGCAACATCGTAGAGAAGCACCTCCCTGGACTCCCTCGCCTGTCCCTCCGTCCTCACTGCAGCGATGGTGCGAGCCGAGTGGCTGAACCGGCCCAGGCGGCACGCAGGGAAGGTGTGGAGCGGGCCGAGGGAGAGGTCGCTGGCGTCCCACAGCTTCACTTCTGTGCGTGTTGATGAGAGGAGGAGGCAGGACGCTGCTCCATAGGCTGCCGAAGCTGACGCTGCTGCTGGTGATGCTGCTGCCGCCCCATCTCGTGATCCCTCCCCGCCCCTTCCTCGTCCGCCGCACCCCCCCCGATCATCATCATGGTATCCGGGTCTAGGCGCTGAGAACACAGAAACAACAGGGGACTGGTGGCACGCATAGCCGTCCACCACCACCCCCCCCTCCACGTCAAACAGCTTCACCTCCCCCGCCGTCGTCCCCACGGCCAAACACCTCCTGCCCCCTCCAACCCCCCCTCCAAACCCCCACCCGCCGCTCCCCCCACTCCCCCCCCCCGCCCCTAGCAGGAAACAAGCACTAGTGATCATTACAGCGTCCTCCCTACACGTCCGCCAGGGCCGGAACCGGCTGAAAACCAGCTGCCTATCCAGCCGCTTGCCCTGCCAGCCTCCATACGGGGGGTGGCGTTGGCGGGCGGAGAGGCGGCGGGTGATGCTGAAAGGGGCGTCGAGGGAGCGGAGAGGCTCGGGGCAGGTGTGCGGGTGGAGGAGGGAGAGCGGGGGGAGGGTGGTGATGGGCGCGGGGCATTGCCGGTGCTGCTGCTTTAGCCAGGAGGTGACTATGCCGTCTAAAGTTGGGGGAGGTACTGCTGGGGAAGGTACTACTGTTGGTGCTGGTGCTGGTGCGGTTGCTGCTGGGATTGCTGCTGACGTGGCTGGGGCAACTGCCAGGTTCTGACTGTCCTCTGCTGCCCCAGCACCACCTGAACTTCCACCTGAACCCGCAACAGGCTTTTCTGACACCGCAACAGCACTACCAGAGGCATCCGCAGCATCAGCGGACGTGCGAGCATCAGGCAACGACGAAGGTGCTTTTTCAGGGTATTTTTGAGAATTCTCAAAAATACCCAACGAATGTGCTTCTTCCTTGTGAACATCCGGCCCTTCTGAGTCCAGACCTTTTCCTTCTGCAGCAGCTGTGGCAGTGCCAGCCCCCATAGGAACCCGCAGAGGCACAGCAAGGCTGGCAGGAGGGAGAGGAGGGAGGAGAGTGGAGGGTCGTTTCGCCGGGGGTGAGACGAGCAGACCTGCTGCAGAGGCAGAGCCTTCCATGTATCCTCGCTTCCTGCCAGATAGCCGCCTCACTGCAGGTGCTGGTGTGCTTGTCGTGCTTTCTCTCTCCCTTTCCCCACTGCTGCTGCTGCCCCCCTCTCCTCCCGCCCTTGTTCCCCCTCTCCCAACTAATGCCTCTCCCGCTTCTCCCCTGCTGCCTGCACCCAGGGCTTCCCCGCCCTGCTTCTCCCGCCCGCCCTGCTCCTCATGCTCCCCCTCCTCCCCCTTAACCTCCCCCTTGCCCTCCCCCTTGCCCTCACCCTTGCCTCTAGCCCAATCTGCAAGCGTGCTGCCAAGTGATAGTCGCCTCTTCAGCTGCCCTTCCTCCTCCTTTCCGTTTCCACTCCCACTCGCACTCGCACCACTTCTATCCATTCCCACCCCTCTCTGCCGACCCACACTCCTCTCCCCTCCCTCCGCTCCCTTCTCCCCTCGCTCCCCTGCCTTCTCCCCCCCCCCCACCTCCCCTCACCATTTCTCCCTAGCGAGCAGAACCATCCAGCCTTCCCCTTCAGCCAACTCAGCCCCCCTGCTGTGTCCGCAGTCAATCCAGCGGCGCCACCTGGCGCTGCTGCTGATGCTGGAACTGATGTGCCAGCTGGCGTGGATGGAGCACCAGGAGTGCCAGCTGGCACTTCTGATGCTGACGTAGGAGGAGGAGGAGGAGGAGGAGGAGGAGGAGGAGGCAGGGTGCGGGGGAGGTTGCGACTCGGAGAAACCTCCGAGGGAGATACAGAGGAGGATGGGAGGGAGGAGGAGGAAGCCGGGGTGGGGACGAGGGGGTTGATGCTTGCTTCGGCAAGTAGCTGGTTCGCTGACTGGTGCAGACCTTCGGACACCAGATGGGCGTGTATCAGTTGAAGGAGCTCGCTGTAAGGGGGATGGGGAGAGACAACGATACACTCTGGTTATTTGAAACACGGAAAACACCAGCACACAACCAAATTAGCTAAATAGTGATAACAATTTCGACTACCTTTGACCGTATCCCACCTGGGAGGGGTAGCTGACGAGAGTGGCAGCAGCAATGGCAGCTCGCTCTAATTGATTGGGAGCGGGCGCTGATGCACCGGCGACTGCTACAGTCGTGGTGAGCTGGAGCACGCAGGGAGGTGGGGGTCGGATCTCACCTGGGGGGGTAGCTGATGGGAGTGGCGGCAGCAATAGCAGCTCGCTCCAGCCTCTTGAGAGTGGGCGCTGTTGCGTCTGTGGCTGCTGCTGTTGTGGCCTTGCCCGCACTTGTAGTGAGCTGGGTGCGAGAAAGGGTGGAGGCAAGAGGAAGAAAAAGGAAGGGGGAGGGAGAGAAGAGAGAAGAGGGGTGAGAAACAAGACCGGACATGGCGAAAGAACAAGACACAGATGACGTGTGATGGTTGGTGCCCCGCACCGCACGTACCGAGATTAGCTCGAGAGCTGATTGCTGGAATTCATGCAGCCATCGAGCATGCAGCGCATGCAACCCCATGGCATTAGACCCCCGGTGGTGATGGTGATGGTGCTGGTGCTGATGCTGGTGCAGCTGCTGCTGCTGCTGGTGATGGTGATGCTGCACGGACGCAGGATAAGACGACGAAGACAACCCGGCCGACACGTCCCGCAGAAGATCCGACAGCTGCCGCCCGAGCTGCAGCTTTGTCAGGATATGCGTCAGTGCAGGATCCCTTGCCAAACCCAGCAGAACCCTACAAGCCAGCGCCCTAATACAATCCGCAGAGGGGGGAGGGAGGGGCGGTTTGCAGTGTAGAAGTTGCAGCAGCACGCGGATGCCGTTGCTGGCTCGGAGGGCGTCTCTGGCCTGCCTGTAGCCTTGCTCCATGTATGCTGCTAGGCCTGTGCCTCCCAGGCCTAGGCCTAGTGGCTGCATTCTGCGGTCCTGAGGGGTTAAGGGCGGTGCTGTGGCAGCTGCAGGTGTTGCTGCTGTTGCTGGTGTTGCGGGTGTGACCGGTGCTGCTGGTGTCGCTGGAGGTGCTGCTGTCGCTGCTGCTGCTGCTGGTGTTGAACGCACGGGAGTGGAAAATACGTCCTGCTGTTCTTGCTGCTGTTGGTGCTGCTGCTGCTGCTGCTGCTGCTGCTGCTGCTGCTGCTGCTGCTGCTGCTGCTGCTGCTGCGCCCCTGCCTCAGCCCCTTCTGTAATGCTTGGCAGTACACGGTTTCCTGTCGGGGTAGCAATAGTAGCCCCCCCTGCACCAACACCAGCAGCAGCAGCAGCAGCAGCAGGACCATTAGCACCACCAGCGGCAGCACCACCACTACTACCGCCACCAGCAGCACCCGAGTGCATGGCAGTCCGGCTACCAGCTGCACAGTAAGTGGGGAATGGGCAGACGAGGTTGACAACAACGAGCAGTGCGATCTGCATGACCTCAGGGTCCGCCAGGAGGGCACCGCTGGCGGCATCCAGCAGCACTGCCATGCCGGAGCGATGCGACGCCACCCGCGCTGACAGCACGTGGCGGTGGGTGAAGGGCGCGAGGGTGAGCACGTGCAGCACGCCCAGGGCATGCTCTGCTAGCTCCCCCGTGGTTCGTTCCCCGGGCGGCATCTGTGGTCGAAAGACAGGGAAGTGGCGGGATTGGGAAGAGAGGGGAGGTGAGTCAATGGCCAGGGAGGGCGAGGATGAGCGCATGCAGCACGCCCAGGGCGTGCTCTGCTAGCTCCCCCGTGGTGCGCTCGCCAGGAAGGCATCAGTGGTAACTACTACCAAGACAGGGAGGAAGGGGGAAGTGGAGATGGGAATGGGGGCAGGGAGTCATAGAGCGATGTGAGGGCTTCTATCCGACACCATCAGAGCCTCCGTCAATCCCATCCCTAGACCCGCCGAATGCCCGACTTTTGAGGCGACTTTTGAGGCGACTTTTGAGGCGCCTCAAAAGCCATGACAGCCTACGTCAACCCCATCCCTAGACCCGCCGAATGCCCGAAACCCTAGCGAAGACCCACCCACCTGGCATAGTTCCAGCATCACATCCACAGCCCCCTCTTCCACGAGCCTCTCAGCGGCGCCCCATCGGCTGCGCACAAACGCCTGGGCCAGGCGCCTGTCCGACACCATGAGAGCCTCCATGCAACCCGAACCCTAGACCCGCCCAAAGCCGTAGCCCTAAATCACACCCTGGGCCCACATACCTGGCATAGCTCCAGCATCACGTCAACTGCCCCTTCCTCCACAAGCCTCTCAGCGGCGCCCCATCGGCTGCGCACAAACGCCTGGGCTAACCTCCTATCCGACACCATGAGAGCCTCCATTAACCCCTCCACTGCCTGTGCGCTCGAATCCACTGCCCTGGTCAAACTCCTGCTGCTGCTGCTCGACCCGGCTGCTGCTGCGCGCGATGCTGCTGGTGCCAGGGTGTTAGGAGCAGCTGGGGTGGATGGAAGGGCGGAAGCAGCAGCAGAGGCGGCAGCAGGAGCAGGCGAAGCAGCAGCAGAGGCGGCAGCAGGAGCAGGCGAAGCAGCAGCAGAGGCGGCAGCAGGAGCAGGCGAAGCAGCAGCAGTAGCAGCAGCAGGAGCAGCAGGGGGAGGGAGAGGGGGAGCAGGGCGGTGGGTGCGGTGGCGGGAGGAGAGGGAGGATGCACCGCCAGAGGCAGAGTGCAGCACCTCTAGATGCAGCACGAGGTGCACTCGCATGTACTGCCTTAAAGCAATGCACGTGTTGTGCGCCACCTGCCGGCCCGCTGGGGTCAGCACCTCCGATGACATCGTGCTGGCACCACCAGGAGGACCCAGTAGTAGGGTTGCTGCTGTACCTGCTACTGCTGCTGCTGCTGCTGCTCCTGCCCCCCCTCCTACCCCTCCTGCTGGTTCTGCCTCTCCCCCAGCAGTAGCAGCACCAGGGCGCAGTCCACCCCCAATCGGAAAATGCACTCCACCGCCTAGAGGGAATGGCAACCTCAAGCCTGTCCCTCCCAGAGCACCAGAAGCACCTGCACCGTTGTCCCCCCCCCCTGCTCTTCCCCCTCTGTCCAACCCAATCTCCCCCGTTCCAGCCCCACCCCCCTGTGCTCCTCCTCCCCCTCCACCTGCCCCTCCTGTCCCCCCTGCCCCACCCACCCCCCCTGTCCCCGCACCTGCTCCCCCCAGCCCCCCTCCCCCACCGCCCCCCGACCTCAGCAGCGCCGCGTTTTTCAGCAGGGCGAGGAGGGCAGAGAGCCCCCCTGGGCGTCGAACTCAAGGAGGATGCGCGGGAAGGCGAGCGAGGCGGCGAAGAAGAGCGCCGTGTTGCGGCGCGCGTGGTCCAGCGGGGAGAGGAGCAGGTGCAGAGCCGCGGAGATGAGGCCGCGGATGATGGGCTGCGGGAGGGAAGATACACGCTCCATGACACTCTGGGGGGAGAGGGGGGGAGAAGGAGGGGGGGAAAGAGTAGGTAAAGAGCAGCTGAAACGAGGCGGGTCCCCCCTGGGCGTCGAGCTCGAGGAGGATGCGCGGGAAGGCGAGCGAGGCGGCGAAGAAGAGCGCCGTGTTGCGGCGCGCGTGGTCCAGCGGGGAGAGGAGCAGGTGCAGAGCCGCGGAGATGAGGCCGCGGATGATGGGCTGCGGGAGGGAAGATACACGCTCCATGACACTCTGGGGGGGAGAGGGGGGGAGAAGGAGGGGGGGAAAGAGTAGGTAAAGAGCAGCTGAAACGAGGCGGGTCCCCCCTGGGCGTCGAGCTCGAGGAGGATGCGCGGGAAGGCGAGCGAGGCGGCGAAGAAGAGCGCCGTGTTGCGACGTGCGTGGTCCAGCCGGGAGAGGAGCAGGTGCAGAGCCGCGGAGATGAGGCCGCGAATGATGGGCTGCGGGAAGGAAGATACACGCTCCATGACACTCTGGGGGGGAGAGGGGGGGAGAAGGAGGGGGGGAAAGAGTAGGTAAAGAGCGGCTGAAACGAGGCGGGTCCCCCCTGCGGGGGAACTCGAGGAGGATGGTGGGAATGCGAGTGAGGCCGCGAAGAAGAGTGCAGTGTTGCGGCGCGCGTGGTCCAGCGGGGAGAGGAGTAACAAGCGGGCAGAGCGGCTGAGATGAGCGCGCGGACGATGGGCTGGGGGAGGGAAGAGACATGCTCCATGACACTCTGGGGGGGTGGGTGGGGGGGGAAGATGGGAGGGGAAGGGGGTTGGGTAACAGAGGGGTGGGAGGGGAGGGGAGGAGGAGGGGAAGAGGGAAGCGGCGAGAGGAGCAGGTGCAGAGAGGCGGAGATGAGAGCCCAGATGAAGGGCTGGGGAGGATGTGGGCCATGCCTGGGGACGGGGGGAAATGAGCTGTGGCAAGACACAGATGGAGAAACAGAAATGGGAAGAGCTGTCTCTAGGGAGGAGAGCGGTGGGGAGAGAAAAACACGTCTCCATGGTGGGCAAACAGTTACCTGGATAGAGGCGAGGGCGAAGAACGCGACAGCAAGGCCGGGGAGTGTGTGGGGAACGCGGGGGAGCGAGAGCAGCAGCTGCACGCCGCCCCGGTCCACAAAGAGCGTGGCGAACTTGCGGTGAGCTGTGAGCGCACACACCAGCTTCAGCACGTCCGCTAGCAGCAGCACGCTCATGGGCCCGCTGCACGGCGCTGCTGCACCTGCCGTGGAGTCTCCAGCGCCAGATAAAACACCAGAAGCACTGCCACCCACACCGTCCGCACCCGAAGCAACAGCTGCACCAGTACCGGTTGCCCCAGCAGCAGCAGCAGCAGGGAGGGCCGCCCCGCGTCTGAGCAGCGCGAGGCAGAAGTCGACGCCCCTTTCGTGCAGCACGGGCCCCAGCACCTCCATGTACTCGCCCAGCGCCGCCAGCGTCTGCACCGCGTACCACTCCCTCAACTGCGCCAGCTGCGCGCGGGTGAGCTGCCAGGCGGGGCGAGCGGGAACGGAGATGGGGGAGGGGAGCGAGCGTGGTGGGGATGTGGTGTGTTGCTGTGATGCTCCTGGGGTTGACTGGGCGGTTCTTCCAGCGGGTTCCCTGGCTGCCTCTGTTTCTGTTTCGGTTTCTGGCGCGGCAATGGTTTCAGTGCCAGCTGCTGCTGCCCCTGCTGCTGCAGAGGAAGTGGCAGCTGCGGAGCCTGACCCTGGAGCCTTGCCCTTGCTTCCACTCACTGCCTGTGCCGCTTGAGTCACAGCATCAGCAGCGCTCCTAGCAGCAGCAGCCACTGCCTCGTCCCCTCCCCCCCCCTCCAGGGCGTCAGCCGCAGCCTGCTTGACGGACTCTGCTGCTGCCTCTACCGCTGCAGCCACCACATCAGCTGGAGCATTCGCTGCCTCTGCCTCCATTCTCGCTGCCTCCCATGCTGCCGCTACCGCCTCTGTTATGTCCACAGACCCCACCTTTACAGATGCCGGAGGGGGGAGGGAGCTCTCAGCCGCCATAGAACCCTTAACCCCGGAACCCCCAGACCCAGAACCCCCAGCCCCGAAACCTCCAACCCCTAACCCCTCAACCTCGGACCCGCCAGCTCCAGCAGCTGAAGCCTGTTTCCCCTTCCCTGCGCTCTGCTCTATCTTACTTCCCTTCAGCCCGGCCTTTCTACCTGCGCCTCCCCCTCCCCCTCGTCCTCTGCTCCCCAGGTCCTCTCTGCCCCCTTCTGTTGTCATCCCTGCTGCGTCTTTCAGCTTCCCAAGCGGGGAAAGGGGGCTGGGTGCAGCTTTTGCCGGAGTGGCCATTACCACATCCGCTTGTGCTGCGGCAATTTCACTCGCCCCCTCACCAAAAGCCTCTGTTTTTCCCCTCTCCTCTGCTGCTCTCGCCTCTCCAACGCCCCCTGCTGCTGCCGCTCCAGCAATCTGAGCCGCCGCCACAGCAGCAGCAGCGGTAGCAGCCGTACTGCTCTCCCCTCTGCTGCCACCCCCACGCAACTTGCTCGCTCGGCTCACAGGCGTTCCCATAGTCCCTGCCCCCGACACCCCCACTCCGCCTCCTCCTCCTCCCCCCTCGCCTCTTCCCCCCCCTGCGCCTGGAGCAGCAGCGCGCCCCAGCACTCGCTTGCGGAGGAGGCGGGCGAGGTGGGGGACGAGGCCCGTGCGCACCACCTGCTCCACCGCCGCCTCGTTGCTGGGGGGGAGGGGGAGAAGGGCAGAAAAGTAGTAGAGTAGTAAGGCGAGTGGTACAAGCTACGTCAGTGCTACGCAGGAGATACCAGGAGGGACTTACGAGGTGAGCGCCACAGCAACGAGGCCAGTGGAGAACGTTCTCAGCATGTCAGTCGCCAGCACGGACGACGCTCTCGCCCTCACACCCACACCACCGGCAGCAGCACCACCTGCAGCAGCACCGCCAGAACCAGCAGTACCAACGCCGCCAGTGCCAGCAGCAGCAGCAGCAGCTCCTCCGCCTCCCCCTCGATCACCTCCCGGACCCTCCTCCCCTGCGTCCTCCTCTTCCTCTTCTTCCTCCTCCTCCTCCTGCCCACCGCCAGCGCCACCCGCACCAGAAGCGGCAGTGGCAGTGGTCGCGGTGGTAGCCAGCGCGGGGGGAGGGGCTGTGCGCGTGGAGAGGGCGGCCCACGCAATGACCCGTTCCAGAATCCCCTCCTCGAAGACTCCGCGGTACTGAGAGTCCAGTGGGGTGGGGGCGGGTGGTGGTGGGGGGACGGGGTGAGGGGGGGGGGGGGGGGGGGGGGGGGGGGGGGGGGGGGGGTAGGAAATGCCTCGTTCCAGAGGTCGCTAATCGAGCACTCCGCGGCACTGCGAGTCCAGCCATGGGGAGAAGATGGCGGAGCAAGAGAAGGTACATGTGCAGAAGCACATATACGGGATGGGAAAAGGGGAGAAAGGGGGGATAGGGGAGAAAGGGGGGATAGGGGAGAAAGGGGGGATAGGGGAGAAAGGGGGGATAGGGGAGAAAGGGGGGATAGGGGAGAAAGGGGGATAGGGGAGAAAGGGGGATAGGGGAGAAAGGGGGGATAGGGGAGAAAGGGGGGATAGGGGAGAAAGGGGGGATAGGGGAGAAAGGGGGGATAGGGGAGAAAGGGGGGATAGGGGAGAAAGGGGGGATAGGGGAGAGGGGTGTAAGGGGAGGACGAGGTCAGCGTAGGGAGAGGAGCATGGGGACGAGATTGGGAGGACGCGGAATGGTCCAAAAAATCGGAAACGCTGGCAACGCGCCACGAAGCTTGTAGCCTAAGCAACTCAGCGCAAGGCTTTTCAGACGATGGTTGCAGCACAAACGGTTGTAGCACAAAGCCTTGTAGCACAAACGCTTGTAGCACAAAGGCTTGTATCACAAACGCTTGTAGCCCAAACGCTTGTAGCACAAAGGCTTGTAGCACAAACGCTTGTAGCACTGTGAAACGTAACGTACCACGAAGCTCATGGCACACGCGAGCAGCAGGCGAGCACCCGCTGCTCGCTCCTCCTGCGACCGCCATGACTGCAGCAGCAGCTTCGACGTCAGCAGCTCGTATAGATCGTCGTCCTCCTGTCGGACGAGGGGGGAAAGGGGGGAAGGGGGGGAAGGGGGGTTGGGGGAAGGAGGGGGACGGCAGGGGAGTGGGGAAAGAATGAGGCGACAGCGCAATACGGCGGTCAGAGAGTCTATTTTTGAGGCGCCTGAAAAAAAGAATGAGGTGACAGCGCAAAACGGCGGTCAGAGAGCAGCAGCTTGGACGTCAGCAGCTCGAACAGATCGTCGTCCTCCTGTCGGACGAGAAGGAGAAGGGGGGTCGGGGGAAAGAGACATTTCAAAACAGTACGAAACGGCGTTTGAAAAACAGAACGACACAGCGTGACCGGGGGGGGGGTTGGGAGGAAAGGGTTAGACGCGTGACTAGGGACGTACGCGCAGTGAGCTGACGATTCTCCCGATAGTGTAAGAGGCTCGAAGATTCGACGAGGAGAAACCCGCTTGCTGCTGATACCTGAGGTCGAAACACGGAACCGGAATACGTATCAGGGGCAAGTATGAAAAGCAGTTAATGACGGTCAGAAGCTGAAGAATTTCGGAATATCCGTGTAGAGGAGCAAGCTTGAAACATCACTGTCGAAACGGCGAAAATTAAACGGTGAAGTCTCGGTGCATTATTGTCAAAGTCTCTCACCATTGCTCCTCATCTTCGATAATCGCAGCGAGCCGATGCAAGAGACTCGTCTCGGGGTGATTCCCGCCAGCCACGATCTGCAGCACTAGCTCCCTCACTCTATTCAGCACTAACTCCGACGGCTCTCGTGGAGTCGCTGCGACCGACGGAACCGCTGACGTCGCCATGGCTGCTGATTGATCGACTCAAAGCTGATTAATAGACTCAAGGCTGGTTGAGAGCTTTAGCCCTGATGGGTAATTGGTGTCCCGAAAGTGCGACTACGGGGGTCCTCGGTTAGCGCTCCAAGCTGAATTTCAACCGTATCGCATCAGTCAGCTGGTAATAGCGGGCTGAGGAGCCTGTTCTGGCGTTTCGTACCGAAACCGACAGAAACTGATAAGCGAGTTTCGCGACATAACGCGATCAGTGCTCGGTCTGAGTTTGCGCTTCGCTCATGTCCAATAAAGGACCATCAAGACGACTAAGGGCGTTATCCTTATTCGTCGGTCTTAGCAAAAAACGACGAAGCCAGACAGGAACGACGAGTCGGGCTATCTCCGGTTCCTAGTCACAAGCCTCCTATTTTCAACTGAAGCCTAAAACTTGAACCACTTCGGGTAAAATGGTTTACTCGTTGCCATGGCGGCCTTGCAGGGATTCTTCTAGATCCGAGAAAGCGGAAATTCCCCTCTTCATGTTCCCCCCCCCAGGTCCTGACGGCTCCCCCCCGACAGGGCAGTCCTAGGAGCTCCCGCGCTTTCTCCCCATGTCGGGAAAACATGGCGGAGTGGCGGGGGTTTGGCTTGGGGAGTGGGATGCGGGGGGACAGGCCTGTGGTTTGTTTGCGGAGATCGCAGAGCGAGATTTCGCGAGCGTCTGCTTCATGTCTCATCGCTGGGCCAATCACGACCACGGGTCGATCGCCAAAAACGGATCATGCGAGCACAACACTGCAGGTCAAAGCACACTATCAAATACACGACTCCTACAGAAAATATTCAAGGATTTTCAAATACGTAGTTATCCATTCAAAGTGTTGAAGCAACATTGTGCCATTTGTCAACCGCATGTGAAACTGGTATTGAAGTAACTGTCGACGAGTATGCTTCAACTGGGGACGAGAGACAATAGAGGCGAGATGGAAAGGGGTGCATCCACACACGGCGGATGCACATGATCCCCAATTCCCAGTGCAGAGAATAAGGGAAATGTGGAGTGGAGTGATTGGAATGGGAGCTGAGCCACACGCAACTGGGGGGCTAAGAGGGGTGAGTGAGACCCTGAGTGTGGACTGGAGTGGGGAGAGTGGTGGGAAGAAATTGAGGGTTGAAGATGGGTGAAGAGAGAGTGAGAGAAAAGGGGGGGGGAAGGGAGAAATGTGAGAAGAGGGAGGTGGGGAAGAGAGTGGCGTGAGGCGCTGAGGGGTCGAGGGATGTGAACAAGAGAAAAGCTCGCGATTGCCTGTCGACACGGACAGCCTACAGAAACGCTAACTGCTTATTGAACTGTATGGAAGTAAGGGAGAATGTGAGGATGCAGGAGAGAATAGGGATTGTTCCTTCAGGCTAGCAGTCAGATGACCGAGACAGGCTGACGAATGAATGACCTCTCCAGGGTAAACTTGACGCCTCTGTGAAGCGTTTTTCTCAGACGCAAGAATATCAGTGTGCGGGTTGGAAAGCGCTTTAGCGAGATATCAGTGTAGACTGGTAACAATAAAGGGAAACCGAGGGTACAATGGGATTCCACGACGCAAATACGAGAAGGAAGAACCAGCAATGGCTGCACTCAGCTACAACGCGTCTTAAACCCTGCACCTGGCGTGTCTAAGATTAAGCGGTCAGGACCTTAACCTCCTCGTTCTCAAACCGCCAGACGGAAAGAACCACCGGCTATGGACCGTAGTCCTTAGTTCCACCCTAAGAGTCGACACGTAAGCCAGGCTTCCTGTCGCACACTACGTCCACCGAGGCGCCTTATAACGAGTCTAAGACGAAGCATCCTGAGCCTTCTCGTCCTCCTCTAGGCGCCAGACCGGGGGAGCCTCGGGCAACGGCCCGTAGTCCTTGGTTCCGCCGCGCTTCCTGTCCCACACCGCGTGCTTCTTCGGCCGCGTCGCCACGTGGCGACCCGTCGCCTTCTTGTTCACGTGGTGCGCCGACTCCACGTTTAGCCGCCGCGAAGATACCGGCGCGGTCGACGGCGAGGCGATCACAGCAGGGCACGTGGCCACGGAGGCGGCGAAGATAGGGAGGCCATGGTGGGTGTGGGGGTTGGCCGAGATAGCAGGGGTGGAGCAGCAGCAACGAATCCACAGAGCTCGCTGGGACGGGCGATTGAAAGCTGCGAACCATGAGATTGTCGCGCAGGCTGGGGGGAAAAAGCCAGGTTGGGGGGAAAGTTGGGAGAGAAATGGGCGGGTGGGGGAAAGAACGGATGGGGGTGATGTGGCGTGTAAAGCGGAAGCACCAGTGAGCGCAGCTGCGCAAAGGGCTAGGCGAAAGGGCGGGTGCCGTGGATGGGTCGACGTGGCACCATGGCTTGGGCTCAATGCCACATTGAAAGTTCACTGTTAGCTATTAGGAAACAGACTATTTATGGCACGGAAGAACCATAATCAAATCATCTGCTTCAAACAAATTGAGGTTCATATGAAGAAATTCTACAAGATAACAGGCAATAAAGAACAGAGAAGAGCTATACAAGAGGCTAAGAGCCTTAGAGCTACCAGTACATGTCACGGTGCAGTTGGAGAAACACTCCAACTTCGACAAACTCAGGCAGTACAAATATTCTAGGACTTGTTCTTGGCGTGCTTGATAAGCCAGTCAATAACGACATCAATGTTAGTCGTGTGCTTGCAGGAGATGCTGTAGCAGCACACTTCCCTGCCCTGCATCACCTGGTTCAATCCCCTGCACCACCACACAGACAAAAAGCTTATATTGAGGAAATTGTAGGAAGCGGAATGCCAATGCAGGAGAGCTCTGGGATATACCGATGAGCCTAACAGGACACCAGGAAAGAAAAACAGGAAACGGGAGAAAAAAAAATTATAAAGTAAGGCACTCACATAGCCTCAATAAGCGCATCCCTGGAGATGGCTTCTGCCTTGTCGCACTTGTTCCCCAGCAGCAGCAGCGGGATGCCGGCGAGAGAGGGTTTGCTGAGCAGCTCATGCAGCTCTCTGCGCGACACAGGGATGTTGTCATGGTCCGATGCATCCACCACATAGCTGAGGGAAATAAAAGGAAGGGGAGGGGGGAGAAAGGGGGGACGAAGGAGTGTAAGGTGCAAGTTGTAAGAGTACGAGTAATAGAAGAATCAGATCTCTGCAGGACGCTGGGACCTTGTCATGGTCCAATGCATCCACTGCATAGCTGGGATGGGGGAGATGGTGTGGTGTGTGTGGGGGGGGGGGGGAAGAGAGAGGAATGCAAGTTGTGGTGTATAAGTGATCGATGGAAAGACGCAGCACTCCGCACGATACAGGGATGTTGTGTTGGTCCGATGAGAGGGGTGGGGATACGCGATGAGGGAGAGGGAGAGGGGGAGGGGGAGGGGGGGGAGGGAGAGGGGGGGGGGAGGGGGAGGGGGAGGGGGAGGGGAGGGGGAGGGGGAGGGGGAGGGGGGGGAGGGGGAGGGGGAGGGGGAGGGGAGGGGGGGGAGGGGGAGGGGGAGGGGGAGGGGGAGGGGGAGGGGGGGGAGGGGGAGGGGGAGGGGAGGGGGAAGGGGGGGGGAGGGGAGGGGGAGGGGGAGGGGGGAGGGGAAGGGGGAGGAGGGGGGGGAGGGGGAGGGGGAGGGGGAGGGGGGAGGGGGAGGTGGAGGGGGAGGTGGAGGGGAGGGAGAAGGGGGAGGGGGAGGGGGAGGGGAGGGGGAGGGGAAGGGGAGGGCGAGGGAGAGGGAGAGGGAGAGGGAGAGGGAGATGGCCGCGGTTTGGTGCTTACACGATGGCGGACACGCCTCGGCAGTATCTCTCCCACATGCTTCTGAATCTCGGTTGCCCGCCCAGATCCCACAGCTTGATGCTCACATTCCCTTTCGTCACCTTGCGCATGTTAAAGCCCACCTGGAACGAAACAGAGCCAGGGAGAGGGGAGGATGAGAGCCCCGGCGGACCAAGAGGAAGGGGAACGTGACAGGGGACAAGCAACAGGCGTGTTTGATGGGTGTTGGCGGAACGGGGTGGGGTATGAAAGGAGCGAAATGATGATGTATGGAGCAACGTGGTGCGGTGCGGTGCGATGCAGCGAGGCATAGTGCGGTGTGCAGAATGGCATGGCATGGCATGGCATGGCATGGCATGTCATACCGTGGGGATCATGTCTTCATTGAAAGCCGCCAGTCTGCACAGACAAAAGGCAAGGGAGCACATGCCACAGCTCATCAGCCCATCAGCCCATCAGCCCATCAGCCCATCAGCCCATCAGCCCATCAGCCATCAGCCCATCAGCCCATCAGCCATCAGCCCATCAGCCCATCAGCCCAGCAGCCCATCAGCCCATCAGCCCATCAGCCCAGCAGCCCATCAGCCCATCAGCCCAGCAGCCCATCAGCCCATCAGCCCATCAGCCCAGCAGCCCATCAGCCCATCAGCCCATCAGCCCAGCAGCCCATCAGCCCATCAGCCCATCAGCCCATCAGCCCATCAGCCCATCAGCCCATCAGCCCAGCAGCCCATCAGCCCATCAGCCCATCAGCCCATCAGCCCATCAGCGCATCAGCCCACAATCCATGAGACCAACAGCCATCAGAGGGAGACGGAACACGTGCACACAACATTTGGCAGGACGGTCAGCAGATCACAATGGATGGATACAGCGGCGTGACAGGCGACGACGTCAGCGACAGGCGACGAGACTGGATCGATAGGTGCGCGCAGGTAGATCTGGTCGTGTCAATCGGAATGCGCGGCTCTTGCATCGTCGGCTCACCATGATCTGAAAGGCCCAGCCGGCGAATGTAAGTCTGAACGGCATACAGACTTACAGCGATGACGTGACGTTGACGAGCGACGTCTTTCCCGCGTGTTGATTGATCAACCTGCTAGCGATTACTGCGATGATCGACTGACTGCGACGAGCGACAGACTGCGACGAGCGACTGACAGCGACGAGCAGGCCTGCTACGGACTTACAGCGATGACGTTGACGAGCGACGTCTTGCCCGCGTTCTGAAGGCCGATGAGCGAGAGCTCCATCTCCTGCTGGAAGAAGAGACTGCGCCGCGACGCACATGATAGGGGATCGGGGATCGGGGATAGGGGATAGGGGATAGGGGGGAAACGGGAGACACGAGATGAGTTTTGAGTCTAGTTTTGAGTCGACTCAAACGTCACCAGGAAGGGACACACGGGAAGGAGGCAGCAGAGGGAATGCACGAGATGACTTTTGAGACACGAGACTCAAACGTCACCTCCTCGCACGTGATAGGGGATAGGGAGGAAACGGGAGACGCGAGACGGAGTATGGCTTCAGGAGTGAGAGAGAATCAGAAGCGAGAGGTCCATCTCCTGCTGGAAGAAGAGACTGCGACGGAGGACACGTGATACGGGACACGGGGTAGGGGGAGCGGGACACGGGGTAGGGGGAGCGGGACACGGGGTAGGGGGAGCGGGACACGGGGTAGGGGGAGCGGGACACGGGGTAGGGGGGGCGGGACACGGGGTAGGGGGAGCGGGACACATGGAACGGAGCATGCCTAAAAGAGCGAGAGAGGATGACTCGCGAGAGCTTCATCTCCTGCTGGACACACATGGTACGGGATAGGGGGGAATCGATTTTTGAGGCGCCTCAAAGATAGGGGGGAATCGATTTTTGAGGCGCCTCAAAGATAGGGGGGAATCGATTTTTGAGGCGCCTCAAAGATAGGGGCGAATCGATTTTTGAGGCGCCTCAAAGATAGGGGCGAATCGATTTTTGAGGCGCCTCAAAGATAGGGGGGAATCGATTTTTGAGGCGCCTCAAGGATAGGGGGGAATCGATTTTTGAGGCGCCTCAAGGATAGGGGGGAATCGATTTTTGAGGCGCCTCAAAGATAGGGGGGAATCGATGTTTGAGGCGCCTCAAAGATAGGGGGGAATCGATGTTTGAGGCGCCTCAAAGATAGGGGGGAATCGATGTTTGAGGCGCCTCAAAGATAGGGGGGAATCGATGTTTGAGGCGCCTCAAAGATAGGGGGGAATCGATGTTTGAGGCGCCTCAAAGATAGGGGGGAATCGATTCTTGAGGCGCCTCAAAGATAGGGGGGAATAGATGTTTGAGGCACCTCAAAGATAGGGGGGAATCGATTCTTGAGGCGCCTCAAAGATAGGGGGGAATCGATTCTTGAGGCGCCTCAAAGATAGGGGGGAATCGATAAATTGCACACATGGTACGGGATAGGGAGGAATCGGAACACAGGAGACGGGGAATGATTTTTGGAGTGCGAGAGGAAAATACGCGAGAGCTCCATCTCCTGCTGAAAGAACAGACTGCGCCGCGACGCACATGACACGGAGATAGCAGGTAAGCGGGAGGCACGAGAGGGGGAGCACGGCCTCAGGAGTGAGAGGAGTGAGGGAGGACACATGTGACTGCGGAGAGCTCCACTTCGGAGAGCTCCACAGAATGCTTTGCGACGCGAGCGATGCGGGACCGGAGGTGCGGCACATCAGCGTACGGACATGAGGTACGGTACAGGGGACACATGAAACGGAGTACGGCTTGGACCGTGAGAGATGATGATACGCGAGACGTGTCATGCCCTGCTGGACGAACGGAAGCGTGCTGGACCCGGGATACGGGAGAGCGCGCGGCGTAAGGGCGTCAATGGGCGAAGTGCTAATGCCACCAGGATAATAAAAGGTCACAGTACCGATGCTCTGACGAGATCTCGGAACGGCGACGCAAACAGCACACAAGGTCGAGGCTCGGACACGCCGAAGCCGCCGAGCCGAACGTACCTAAAGCGCCATCATCGTGCCGACTGGACGGGATCTAGGACCCGACCTAAAAGCATAGTGCGAGCGAACCGAACGTACCTGCGTAACCAATTAAGAACGTATTCCCATAGCGCCATCATCGTGCCGGCTTGACGGGATCCGGAAACCGACCTAAAAGCCTAGTAAGAGCGACGAGAAGGAGGCCAAGTTTAGAGACCTCTCAGAACTTGACGAGATTTAGGAACCGGCCTGAAAGGCGTAGTAAGAGCAACGAGAAGGACACGACGCCTGGTAGAAACGAGGAGATGAAGCCGGCCCTGCTAGAAGTGAAAAGGAGCGAAGCCGACCTAAGGAGGAAAGCGTCAACACAGACGAGGGAAGCGACGAGTTAGGATGAAAAAAGAGGATGACCTAGGATGAAGAGTTGGTGACAGACAGGTGCGACAGTTTGTAGGTGGACAGGATGACAATTTTCTATTTACCAATAAACTGTATTTCGTCCAATGAACATGTCGAGATGGCCGAGTTGGTCTAAGGCGCTGGATTAAGGTTCCAGTCCGAAAGGGCGTGGGTTCAAATCCCACTCTCGACAGTTTTCTTTGCCTGGAGTTGTGGGTTAGGGAAAGGGTTTTAATATCTTTATCCAGATGATCAGGATCCAGGACATGACAGGCGCGGCCTGGTGAGCTTGTGACGTGCCACTGCCGAGCCAAGCCCAATGTCACTTTGCGCTGAGCTTGTTCCGCCGACACCCAGACCGAACCAGTATGGCTGACACCAGCCGAACCAGAACTCCCCTGGAGTCTCCGAAGGTGGTTCGGGATTCAAGATGTGGAGTTGGAGCACACAATTGGATCCCACTTGAAAGTGGTGTGCTCACTTGGTCTCTGCTGGGTTGGCTCACAAGTACTAGCTGCTTTCTAGTTATTTTGCCTCACTAGGGGTGCACTGGTGCTAGTGGCTGAAGCGATTCTTGAGGATTCTAGTGTCTAATTCCTCGCTAGTTTTGTTCCCTCTCGATACTGGCTGCTACCGCATTGGCTGGAGGCTTCTCACGGTCTAGATTCCTTATTATATTGCCAATATTGCGGACCTTCTAGGCTAGCTCACTCGTTTCCTTCCGATGGCGAGTCAGCCATTGCAAGGAGCGGATCCCGCCGCTGCAGCCGCTAGTGCTGCTCCACCGCAGCATGTCGCTCATGCTGCTCCGCCGCAGCATCAGGGGGGAGCGCAGGCGCAACAAGCCGCTGGTTACCAGCATGCAATGCACGTGATGCAGATGCAGGGACACGTGGCGAACGCTGGTGCAATGCCGCAGGGATACCCTCAACAGGTGAGGGATAGTCAACGCGTTTAAGGCTTAATTTCTCCGAAAGTAGTGAGATTGATGCCGCTTTTCAGGATATTAAATTAATAGCTTAATCCAAGTGAAAACACTTTTTTTTTTCTTCTTGATCCCCGATAACTGCTCGAATAATCTTTCGTTGAATAAGTCGATCATTTCTCGGATGCCGAGCGAGACTGTTCCGCGTTATGGTCGCAATCGCAATCCGCGATAGGAACTCCTTCGCTGACCTGGTTCACCTGAATCGAGTCATCTGGTCATGATCGATCTCCCTCCTCTGGTCATCTGATTTCTTTCTCCTGGTGCCCCCTCCTGGTTCCTGAATTTGCAGGGTATTTTTTAGAATTCTCAAAAATACCCTGCTGGTTCACCTGAATCGAGTCATCTGGTCATGATCAATCCCCCTCCTCTGGTCATCTGATTTCTTTCTCCTGGTGCCCCCTCCTGGTTCCTGAATTTGCAGGGTATTTTTTAGAATTCTCAAAAATACCCTGCTGGTTCACCTGAATCGAGTCATCTGGTCATGATCAATCCCCCTCCTCTGATCATCTGATTTCTTTCTCCTGGTGCCCCCTCCTGGTGCCCCTCGTGATTCCCCCTCCTATTTCCCGCTCCTCAAACTGTTTCTTTTATGAATATTACTCTTTCGCATTGCAGGTGCCTGGGTCGTACCCGATGTACGCCATGGGTCCCATGGGGCCTGTTATGGTCAACCCTCAGATGTACGCGGCCTACATGCAGAACATGCAGAACATGCAGAACATGCAGCACATGCATCCCCAGTTCGCTGCTCAAGCTGCCGCCGCCGCCCAGAAATCCGGCGCAGCAGCAGCAGCGGCTGGTGCCCCGGAGGGAGGCTCGGCAGCAGGAGGCTCGGCAGGAGCAGGCTCGGCAGCAGCCGGTGGGGGGATTGACGCGTTTGCGAGTCTGCTTGGTAGCACGGATCGTGCTATGCTGGCTAAAGCAGGGGAGGCTGCCGCCCAGAAGATGCATGCTAAGGGCGGTAAGGGCCAGGGGGAGGAGGGCCATGGTGCGATGGGAGAAACCATGCAGCATCAGCAGCAACATCAGCAGCAGCAGCCGCAACAGCAGGGAGGAGGTCAGCCTCTCTCACCTGGCGCCAAACCCCATTCAGCCGCACCAGCAGCAGCAGTGCCACCAGCAGCAGGCATGCCTGCAGGGATGCCCCAAGGAATGCCCCAAGGAATGCCCCAAGGAATGCCCCAAGGAATGCCGCAGTACCCGCACTACGCCTACTATCCTGGCGCAGTATCCTGGTGGCCCCAAGGTGCCGCCCCAGGGGCCGTGCCTGGCGCTGCTCCTGGCGCAATCCCAGCAGGTGCTCCAGGTGCTGCTTCAGGTGGAACTCCAGGTGCAATCCCAGGTGCCGGCCCAGGTGTTGCTTCAGGTGGAACAGCAGGAGCGGTGTCAGGAGCAGTGCCAGGCGAAGGAGGAGGAGAGAGCGGTGGAGCTAAGGTTGCAGCAGCACCGCCAGATGCGCCAGCAGCTAAGGTGCCGGCTGCTGCGCCTGCAGTGGTGGCCCCTCAGCCGAGGAATCTTGCTGCCCCTATTCCGCTGTCGCTGTTTGGTGAGGAGGAGGAGGCAGAGGAGGTGGAGGAGGAGGAGAGTAAGCAGGAGGGAGAAATAGCGCCGCCTGTTGCTTCTGCTGCTGATGGTGTAGCCGCACCTGGACCAGCCGTGGCGGAATCGGCAGCAGCAGCATCGTCACTTGAAGCTGATAATGACGATGACGATGATGACTTCGGAGATTTCTCGTCGGTACCGTCTGCTAGTGTGGTCTCTGCCACTTCTGCGGATTCCGCTGCCTCCACTGCCGCTGCTACCACCACCGCGCCCACTGCTGCCGACTTTGCCCCTACTGGTGCTCCAGTGGACTCAGGAGCAGCTGCTGCATCTGCAGCTTCAGCTGCTGCTGTGCCTCCAGCAGAGGAGGACGAGGACGACTGGGGGGATTTCTCAGAGTCATCAACACCTGCGCCTGCTGCAGCAGCACCTCCCCAGGCTGCACCTCCCCCTGCTGTGCCTCCCGCCTCTGCCTCAGCTGCTGTGCACCAGCCGGCGCCTGTTCCATCCCCCGCGTCCTTCCTTGGGCCCATATCCCTGGCTGCTTTCCAAACCACAGCACCAGCACCAGCACCAGCAGCACCAGCAGCGGTGGAAGCAGCAGCTGTACCAGCAGCAGAGGCAGAAGCAGCAGCAGTGGCAGCAGTAGCTGCAGCAGCGGTACCAGCAGGCATGGCATTTGACCCTGACGACGACTTTGGTGACTTCTCCTCCTCCGCCTTCGGTTCAGCCGCCCCTGCAGCAGCAGCGCCAGTACCAGCAGCAGGCATGGGACCTGGTCCTGATGACGACGATGACGACTTTGGGGACTTCTCCTCCTCCTCCCAAGCAGTCTCCTCGTCTATCTTCGCCCCCGCAGCTACGGGGTCCTTAGCTCCGTCCAGTGACTCCAAGCCCCACATTCCATCTCCGGGCTTTGGAGCCTTCGCTCCCCCTCCTGGCACCGCCGCTGACGCTGCCCCTGCTGCTTCTGGTGCTGCTTCAGCAGGAATTCTTACCAGCGTAGACCCCGCTGCTGATTCTGGCCAAACGATGGCACCAAGCAAAGAGATTTCCTTTGATGATGACGATGATGATGACTTTGGGGATTTCGCAGGAACCACTGCAGCTGGAGGAGCTGTGGATGCTGCCAGTCTAGCCACCACTGCGGGTACGCTTTCCTTTTCCCCTGATTTTGTGGGGGTGGACCTCAGCAGCACCACGGTTACCCCTGAGCCGTCCATCCGCTTGGATGGGTCAGATGCAGCGAATCCAGTCCTCGTGCCGAGCAATTCTGTGGCAGCAGCAGCAGAGGCAGCAGCGCTAGCAGCAGCAATGTCAGAGAATCATGCTCCTGCTGCTGCTGCTACTGACGGGGGGGCTGCTGGCGTTGCTGCTGCTGGTCCTATTCCGCTCTCGCTCTTCGGTGATGACGTGGCAGATGCTGAGCTGGAGAACGCTGAGCTGTCACTTGGGCAGTTCCCGTCCGCTGGCAGCAAGCCAGCAGCAGAGCATGCAACAGGCGTGGGTGCAGGCCAGGAGCCATCTGCTTCTGCCGCTGCCGGTACCGCTGCCTCTGGTGCTGCTGCTGGTAGTGCCAAGTCAGGGAACCTTATGGACTTGCTCTCGTCTCTCTATGGCAGCTCTGCGACGAGCTCTGCGGGGGGTGCAGGAGGCGCAGGAGGAGCATCAGGAGCAGCAGGGGGGGCGGCAGTCGGGGGAGCAGGAGCAGGAGGGAGGCTGGAAGGGGGCCGGCTGGGGCAAACTTTCTCAACTGGTCGGGTGCCTTTGGCTATGGCGTCTGCAGCAGGATACGGGGGTCTGTTCGGGCTGCTGTCCCCAGGGACGCCACCTGCGGATGTGCCTCTAAGGGGGTCGGTTAGTGAGCAGGTGCGGCAGAGGGGGCGGGGAGGGGGGCGGGGGGATTGCTGGCGCAGGCAGGGGAAGGCGTGGGGGGAGGATTGGGGGGGGAAGAGGGGGAAGGTGGGAGCGGGCTGGTGGGCGGCACAGGTTTGTCCTTTGCTGCAATTGACGGCGATGGTACTGGTGCCGGTGGTGCTAGTGGGGATGCTGCTGCTGCAGCAGCTGCTGCTGCAGCAGCTGCTGCTGCTAGTGCTGCAGGTTTATCTGGTGCAGGTTCTTCTGCTCCAAATGCGTCCTACCGCAGCAGCGGCCTCCCAGGGGGCGGCCTACAGGGCCTGGCCACAGACCAAACCCTCCCCATAGTCAGCTCCCAACTGGGGGAGGGCGTATTCAGCGAAAGCATTGCTGCAGCCCTGGCTTCCGTCCTCCAGCCGACCGTAGTCCGCCTGCCCAGCTCAGTCTCCCAGGAGCGGTGGGAGCAGACACTAAGGGAGTTAGCTGAGGGGGCGGAGAGTGTGGAGAGGAACGAGTTTGGGCGCCTGACGGGGGAGCTGGTGAGGGAGGGGCGGATGGAGGAGGCTTATGCGTGCCGGCTGCACGCTGCTGCGTTCCAGCTGCTGCCCGACTGCCAGACGCAGTATTCCATGGCGCTGGGGGATGGACGGGTGGAGGCTGCTGCTGCTGTGAGAGAGGATATGAAGGTCAGTGCTCTCTCGTGTTCATTCATGCTCATCCATGAGATTTAAACCCGGCTGCGTTCCAGCTGCTGCCCGACTGCCAGACGCGATACTCCATGGCGCTGGGGGATGGGTGGGTGGAGGCCGCTGCTGCCGTCAGAGAGGATATGAAGGTAAGAATCAGTGCTCTCCCGTGCTCTCTCATGCTCTCGCGGGCTCTCCCGTGCTCTCTCATGCTCTCGCGGGCTCTCCCGTGCTCTCTCATGCTCTCGCGGGCTCTCCCGTGCTCTCTCATGCTCTCGCGGGCTCTCCCGTGCTCTCTCATGCTCTCGCGGGCTCTCCCGTGCTCTCTCATGCTCTCGCGGGCTCTCCCGTGCTCTCTCATGCTCTCGCGGGCTCTCTCGTGCTCTCTCATGCTCTCGCGGGCTCTCCCGTGCTCTCTCATGCTCTCGCGGGCTCTCCCGTGCCCTCTCATGCTCTCGCGGGCTCTCCCGTGCTCTCATGCTCTCGCCGGCTCTCCCGTGCTCTCTCATGCTCTCGCGGGCTCTCCCGTGCTCTCTCATGCTCTCGCGGGCTCTCTTGTGCTCTCTCATGCTCTCGCGGGCTCTCCCGTGCTCTCTCTTACTCTCGCGCGCTCACACATGGTACTTACAACCTCTTCGCCATCTCCTCTCCTGGTAAGCATAGAGCTTTTCTAAGGTGTCACTGAGGGAGTGAGGGAATGAGACTGATCACACCATGTTAATGACAAAGTCTACACGGAGACTGTGCATGTCCTGGTGGTTTTTGAATCAACTCAAGAGCTGGCATGGAGACGGTGCATGTCCTGGTGGCTCCAGCTAGCACTCGGCATCACCTCATCTCTCGATCCGTCTGCCCCTCTGTCACAGTACCTCCTATCCCTTTCTTGCGCCTGCAGTGGATGGAGACTGTTTTGGGCGAATTCGAGACAATTTTATAAATCCTAAAAAGTTTTCCTCTCTGTTTCCCTGTTGTGCTTGCAGCGGATGGAGAGTGTTCTGGGCTGATTCGATTCACTTATTTCAAATTCTATAAAATCACCCTCTTCATTGCTCCGTTGTGCTTGCAGCGAATGGAGACAGTTCTGGGCAGTCCTGCAGCCGTGGAAGGGTGGAGGGAGAGGAAAGAACCTTCAGCAGCAGCACATACTGTAACAACGGACCAGGAGGATGGAGGCAAAGCAACGAAAGAGGGTGGCACAGCGGAGAAAGAGGCATCAACGGAAGGGATGGACGACGGCACGGCAGGAACTGAGCCTGGATTGGAAGGGACAGCTGGCGTCGCAGCAAACTCCGAGGAAGGTGAGGGAGTGGATGACTGACGCTTGATCTTGAGAATTCCCTAGCATCCTCTTCTTTCAAGAATTGCCAAGCATCTTCGTATTTTGAGAATCTTAAAACGGTTCACTCTGTTGGCCCTGTTGACCCTGTCTGCTACAGCTGGAGCAGCACCTGCTACAGCCAAAGTGGCTGAAGGGGCAGCGGACAGCAAGCCTAAGAGGGACGTGGCGTCCCTGCGGTGGGACGAGCGGTCGGTGGGAGATATGGGGGAGCTGCTGGGGCGCAGTGCAGGGGACGCCAGGGCGGCTGCTTTTGAGGCGGAGTTTAAGCAGCAGGAGATCTGCGATCTGGTGAGTGCTGCTGACGGTGAACGACCAGAAGGGAATGCTGAGAACGTAAGTGCTGGACGAGCCAAACTAGGGGGTCAGTGGTCAGACGGAGAGTCTGAGGAGGGACGTGGTGCTTCTGTGCTGCTGGGAGAGCTGCTGGGGTGCAGCTCAGGGGACGCCAGAGCGGCTGCCTTTGAGGCAGAGTTCAAGCAGCAGGAAATGTGGGATCTGGTGAGTGCTGCGATTGCACGCAGGGGACTGGATGGGGCATTGGTGGGACCAACGGTTGTTGGGAGGTGACTTTTGAGTCGATTCAAAAGTCACCTTGTACCCAGGGGACTGGGTGGGCCATTGGTGGGACCAACGGTTGTTGGGCAGGCAGCATGGGGGAGAGAGCGCAGGGGACGCCAGGACTGCTGCTTTTGACTCCGAGTTCAAAGGAGCACCAGCAGTCCTGCTGTGAGGTCCTGGGCAGCACTAACTGACTCCCTGCTCACACCCCCCCCCCCCCCCCCCCCCCCCCCCCCCTCAGGCCGCCAAGGACCTCACAGCAGCGCTGCTGGTGCACATAAGAGCTGTCTTCGGGTTCAACGTATACCCAGCTTCGCCCCATAGCCATCCCAATCCTTTCTGCTCTGTTGTCCCCTCCCCCCCAAGGCCGCCAAGGACCTCACAGCAGCGCTGCTGGTGCACCGAAGAGCTGTCTTCTGGTTCAACGTGCTCTCGGCAGTTTCTGCAGCTGAGGCAGCGTCGTACGTCCGGTTGTGGGGGCTGTGGCAGCGCGGTGTGCCGATGTGTTGGAGGCAGCAGTGGGGGTGAAGGAGAAGGCTGAGGCGGATGGGCCTGACACGCTCTCCGCCCTGCTTGCTGCACCCAAGGTCAGTATCGGTATTGGGGAGACCCCTTTGAGTAGTGGCTCGGTGTGCTGATGTGTTGGAGGCAGCAGTACGTGTGACACGCTTTGTGCTCTGGTTGCTTGCTGCACCCAAAGGTCAATTTCGGGGTGAATTAGATAGTCTCTCATTTAGATAGTCATCCCCTTCACCTCCCTCACTCCCCTTCTTCCTCCTTCCTCTTCACATCCCCCACTCCTCCCCCCCTCAGCACGTGACTATTTTGCAGCCATCACCCAGACCTATGGTGTGCTTGTAGTCATCGCTGCCTGCGCCCAGCTGCACCGACCCTGGCTTGCGGTCAGGCTCGGCACAGGCTCGGCAGGACCGCCAGCAGGTTCGGGTGAACCTGGGAGCATGGCAGGGGGAGGTTCGGGGGAGGAGGTGCAAGGGGGAGGGGATGGGGAGGGGGATATACTGTGGGCACACTTGCTTAGGGGGCAGGCTGCATGGCAGAATGGAGGTTTGGAAACGGTGGCCAGTGAGGTGCTGCCACGTGTCATGCTGCCGTTGTCATGGTCTGACGTGGAGAAGGTGCTGGAAGGTGCTGAACTGGCAGCGGTGCAGCGGGCTGCTGAGCTGGCGCTGGAAGGCCGGCAGAAGCACATGGGGCTGGTGGGCGGGTCGGGGACTCTCCTTTGTGCACTCACTCGGCTCCCCATTTTTGCATTCACTTGTAAGTTGATTCATGAAAGAGTTCACCTGCTTGAAGAAAAAATTCCCATCAATTCATGTGCCTATTGGCTGGCACATTATTGAGTGAGCCTGTATGTATCATAGCCTGCTCAATTCCGAGACTCACCTCACACCGGTACTGGTGTAAGGAGTACTCATCCTCGTACCACCCACATTTCGTGTATTCCTATGCTTTCTTCCGTGTCTTACGCAGCGGTGGCAGCAGTGGAGTGGTACGGCCAGCGCTATTTGCTCCCAGTGGCCAATTTCTGGGCGAGCCACATCTCAAATGCGAGCCCCTTGATGCTTGTTGCTAGCTGAAACCAACTCCAAAGCAATGGGACTAAAACCAAGCTCTAACTTGATGCATTATTCTATGCACTGATTTCAACTACTCTCGCTTTATAAGAAATCTCACTAGCTGTGATATTTGACTTGTTGGCGAATTCTTGAAAGAAGAGGATGAATCCCCTCGTTTCCCCCTACACAATGCTTGAAAGAAGGGCACTTTTCATAGGAATCTCCTCGTTTCCCCCTACCACTGCGCCACTCCAGACCCTGCACTTGGTCGTTTGGGGCCCAGCCACCGTCTCTGGGGCGCGTCGAGAGCGCTACTTTCTAGTACTTGTCGACGACTACACGCGCTACACCACGGTGTTTCCCCTGGAGTGGAAGGCCGACGTGCTTGACGTTCTTATCCCGTGGGTCATAGTTGCACCCGTCCACCTTGGCCTCCCAGTGTTTCATCTCCACTCCGATCGTGGCGGCGAGTTTGCCTCCGGTCAGCTTGGTTGTTTCTGTCGTGCGGAGGGTATCACCCAGTCGTACACCCTGCCGGACTCCCCGCAGCAGAATGGGGTCGCTGAGCAACGCATCGGTTTGGTGATGGAGGTCGCTCGTACCTCCATGATCCATGTCAGTGCACCCCATTTTCTGTGGCCGTTCGTTGTTTGCTACGCCGCTCACCAGCTTAGCCTGTAGCTACACTCTCAGCGGCCGTAGGTTTCCCCGACCCTTCTTTGGACTCGGTTCCATGGTGACGCGTGTGCCATGTCTGGGGCTGCCTCGCTTACGTTCGTGCCTCTGGCACGGACAAGCTCACTGCCCGCGCTGTCCCCTGTGTCTTCCTTGGTTTCCCCCTTGACGTGTTTGACTGGCACTACTACCACCCGCCTTCTCACCGCTTCTTTCACTCGAGTGACATCATTTTTAAGGAGTCTGTCTCCTTTTACCAGTGCTTTCCCCATCGAGGTCTCTCGGTTTCCCCGCACAGGTTTCTGGTTCCCACTCCCTCGGTAGCCCCTGCTCCTCTCCCTCTCCATCCTGCCCCATCAGGTGTGTCTTACGTCACTCCCTTCCTGTCACTTGTCCCACTTGAGGAGTCGGCTGACTCAGGGGGTCCCGCTGCTTCAGTTTTGCCGCCTATCTCCGCCCCGTTGTCCCCTCCTCCGCCTCCGCCGCCGTCGCAGCAGCCTTCGCCTTCGCCGCCGTCGCAGCCGCAGCCGCAGCAGCTGCCAGGGTCCGTGAGTTCTGGGGGTGGGGGCGTATGGGAGGGTGCTAGTCCTGGTGTTACTATCGTGGCTTGTCCCAACGATCTCGGGGATGGCATCGGTGCTGGAGAGGGTTCTCGTTCTAGGGTTGTTGGTTCTGGGGGTGCTAGTCATGGGGTTACTGTTGTGACTTGTCCCGGTGGTCTCGGTGGTGGCCCCGGTGCTGGAGAGGGTTCTTGTTGGGGGTGTTGGCGTGGAGTGTCCTGGAGGTAGCGGTGGTGAAGCTCGAGGTTCTGGTGTCGGCGTGGAGCAGCAGTAGCAGAAGCCGCAGTCGCCACCGGTGTCCGCCCTTCGCCTCCTCGGCCTTCCCTCCCCTGACCACCTGCCCGTGCCTCCCCCGCCGCCGCCTCCCCTGCCTGTCCACGGCCCTGTCTTTCCTCTGCTCTCGATCTCCTCCTATGTCTCCTCCCCTGTCTCCTGACCCGACGCCTCCGTCTCACGTCTCGTCTCGCCGTCCCTCCGGTGCTCGTCTTGTCTCCCCTGTTCAGCGCTCCCACCCTATGTTGCTTTGTTCCCACGCGTCTTGTCCTCCCCTCCTCCCGTCGCCTCCTCCGTCATCACTTGTTGTCGCTCCGCCTCCTCTGCCTGACTTCCTTTGTGCCGCTAGCCCCCTTGTTCCCGAGTCCTTGCCTCCCTTCTTACCGACCCGTCTGTTCCTGTCTCGAGTCTTGACGCGCTTGTCGCTGCCGTCGCTGACTTTGCCTCTACCCACCGCCCTGACTACGCCACCGCTTTGGTCTCTGACCCTGCTCGTCCTACGTCCGTCGAGGGTGCTCCTACCCTTGGAAGTAACGTCCAACAGTACGAGCTTACTTTCTGCCCGAGGTCGGGCCTCATCTCTGCTCCATGCTGTTAGTCCCTAAGGGGGACCCATGCGTCTTTGACATCCCGACCCCTCGCACCTACGCTGAGGCGACCTCGGGAGTCTGGGCCTCTCAGTGGATAGCTGCCATGGAGCCGGAGATGGCATCTTGGAGATCCACGGGCACCTACGCCAACGCAGCTCCTCCACCTGGGGTGAACGTAGTCGATGGCCGGTGGCTTTTCAAGGTGAAGCGCCCTTCTGAAGAGCCGCCGGTGTTCAAGGCGCGCTACCTGGCTAGAGGCTTCAGTCTGCGCGAGGGTGTTGACTTCTTCCAGACCTTCGTCTCGACCCCAAAGATGACTATACTTCGGGCGCTGCTACACGTTGTTGAATAGCGTGACTACGAGCTGCACTCTCTCGACTTCTCGACGGCGTTTCTTCAGGGCAGTCTGCACGAGCAGGTCTACATGCGTCGCCCGCCACGATTCACCAGCCCCTTCGCCCTAGGGACCCAGTGGCTCCTCCGGCGCCTGGTTTACGGCCTGCGGCAGGCGCCGCATGAGTGGCACGACATGCTGCGCGCTACGTTCGCTGACCTGCAATTCTTCCCGTTGTCTGCAGACCCTTCGCTCTTCGTTCATGCTAACCAGAAGCCGTTCTACATCCTTCTCTACGGAAACAACCTGGTCATTGCTACTGCACACAGAGACGCACTGGCCTCCGTGAAGGCTGAGCTGCTGAGGAGACACACCTGCACTGACCTAGGAGAGCTGCGCTGCTACCTTGGGAGATCTCCGGGGACAGAGCAGTGCGCACCATCCCTCTGATACAGTCACACTTGGTGCGCCAGGTCACGCTTGGTGATTCAAAGGCTCGTTCTTCAGTTCTCCTCCGCACAGCCCACACCTCTGCCAGTAGATTACAGGCTCTCGGCTCCTGTTCCTGAGGAGTCAGTAGAGCCTAGTGGTCCTTACGCAGAGCTGGTGGGTTACCTTATGTACCTGATGACTTGCACTCGTTCTGATCTCGCATACACTCTCAGCATCCTGGCTCGCTTTGTGGCCATAGGCCGACACCAACCACAGCACTGGTCGGCCGCTAAGTGGGTTTTGCATTATCTAGCAAGTACATCGGGCATGGGGCTAGTGCTAGGAGGACACACGCTAGGTAGGTGCGTACGCTTAGAGGGTACAACCCCTTAGACAAAACCAACATATTTGCATCATTCTAATCATTCATTCTAACTTTGATATGGTATCACGCTAGGTTAGGTCTCCCCCGCCCACCCCCGCTTCCGCCTTAGGCCTAGTCCTAGCCGCCCCTTAGCGCCCCGCTGGCCCTGTACGCCCCGCTGGCCCCTTAGAGCCCCGCTGGCCCCGTTCGTGCCTCACAAGCCCCGTTCGCGCCTCTCTAGCCCCGTCGAGCCCCGCTAGCCCCGTGCCGCCCGCCGGCCCCGTCCGCCCCGCTGGCCTCGTTCGCCCCGCTGGCACCGTGCGTACCCCGCTAGCCCCCTCGCGCCCCTCTAGCCCTGTGAGCTCAGCTGGCCCCGTACGCGCCTCCGGTTCCGGGCGCCCCACTGGCCCTGTTGAGGGCAGATCAAAGCACATCCAGCCGCGGTACTTCCTCCCGCGCGAGCTGCAGCAGCGCCGCCAGGCCCGCGTAGTACACTTGGCCTAAGGTGGCAACACAATTGGTATCTTTACGAAGGCGCTTGCGCCTAAAGATCATCAGCGGCACTGTGTACAGCTTGGTCTAGTTCCTTTAGCTTCTCACTTGCTAGGACCTTGATGGTGTACTACTTTTATATTATCTTGACTGGCCTTGTGACCCTTGTCCAATTGGCTGGACTAGTAGTGCCGCCCTGGATTGCTCTTGTTTAGTTTGTACTATTGCTGACTGGTCTTCGGACCCCTGCCTCAGAGGTTGGACTAGTAGTGCCACCCTGAGCTGTGTGCCTCTTGCCAGGCATTGCTGTCGTGGCACTGGGATAACCTTGTCGATCCTCTCTCTCTCTCTCTCTCTCTCTCTCTCTCTCTCTCTCTCTCTCTCTCTCTCTCTCTCTCTCTCTCTCTCTCTCTCTCCTCTCTCTCTCTCTCTCTCTCTCTCTTTCTCTCTCTAGGGAGGGTACTGAGGAGGCTTTCCTCCAGGAAGGTGGATATACGGAGCCTAACCCTCTTGATGGCATCTGAGCTCACTTCCCTGAGCTCACTTCCCTAAGGTGAGCTCACTACCCTGAGCTCAATTCCCTGAGCTCACTTCTCTGAGCTCACTTCCCTGAGCTCCATTTGCTGAGGTGTGCTCACTTCTCCGAGCTCACTTCCATGAGCTCACTTCTCTGAGCTCACTTCCCTGAGCTTACTTTCTGAGATGAGCTCACTTCCCTGAGCTCACTTCCCTAAGCTCACTTCTCTATGCTTTCTTCTTTGAGCTCACTTCCTTGAGGTGAGCTCACTTCTCTAAGCTCACTTCCCTGGGCTCACTACCCTGAGGTGAGCTCACTTCCCTAAGCTCACTTCCCTGAGCTCACTTCTCTGAGCTCACTTCACTAAGGTGAGCTTACTTCCCTGAGCTCAATTCCCTAAGATCCCAGTGGTTAGGGCTGGTGACTTTATGACTACTGCCCCTCATCTAGCCTAGGGGGTGTGTCAAACATTTTTTGTACGTCTTATAGACTAGATAGGTGGGTATAACCCCTTAGACAAAACCAACCTGTTTGCATCATTCTAGTCATCCATTCTAACTTTGATAGTCCTATGTTGGGGATATAGCAGTCGAGAGAAGCAAGTGAGGGGAATCGGAAATAGGTGAGTGAGAAGGAAGTGAGGGAAGCGGGTGAGGACAGCACATTAGACCAGCAGGTGAGGAAGCAGGTACCGTAAGATAGAGTTGTGAGAAGCAGGTGAGAGGCGACGAAACCAAGCAAGAAGGCACGTTCTGTTAAAAGGCTAGCTTAGCTAGAAAGCTAGGAAAGGCGTGAGGTTTAGCTAGGAGGAGCCATGGAGTGGCGTGAGGTTTAGGAAGGAGAAAAGTTGAGGAAAGAAAAGGAGTTGGAATAGAAAGAGAGAGGCATACAAGGAGGGGATTGTACCCTCTACAGTAAAGTTCGGTAACCTACCAAGCCTAACAATTATATAACTCAATATATAATTTTAACACACCCCCTAAGCTTGGTAGTCACAAGCCCACACACACCCCCACACCCCCTAACCTAGCACCCCCATTCCCATCAGCCACAACGACTCCATGAGGGCCCACAAGGCCTTGGAGATGGTGACGGCGGCAGTCTCGGCCGCGGCGACAGCGACGGCGACGACGGGCGTGCGGCGGCAAAAGGCCTGCAACGACGACAACGGCGACGGCGACGGCTTCGGTTTACGACGGCGGTGAGTGCAGCGCCCCCCGCCCTTCCGGCGGGGTGTCCAAACTCCGCGACAGGGGGACGACCGGCGAGAGTCAGGCGGCGGCTGTGGTGAAGAGGAGGGGACAGAGGAAAGGGGGAAGGGCGGGGCTTCGGATCTTCAGCGCGGCGCCACAGGCGTTGCGCGGCCGGCTGGCATGCGGGTGGGCAGTTTAGCGGCGCCACAGGCGTCGCGCGGCCGGTTGCAGCCCGACGCCGCCGTCACAGAGCGGCGTCGACGCTGCTGTGGGACGTCGACGCTACGACGGCAGCACGGCGGCCTGACGCCACGGCAGCGCGTCGAGACGGCAGCGGCACGACGCGGCCAGCGGCATCACGACGCCGCCACTGCAGCACAACGCAGCCACCATGGCCGCGCGAGCGAACGAGGGCAAGGAGTACGCGGCGGAAGCGTGAGGAGGCGGTACAGCAGGGAGGAACTCCTGCTCTAGTACCATGTTAAAAGGCTAGCTTATCTAGGAATCTAGGAAAGGCGTGAGGTTTAGCTAGGAGGAGCCATGGAGTGGCGTGAGGTTTAGGAAGGATAAAGTTGAGGAGAGAAAAGGAGTTGGAATAGAAAGAGAGAGGCATACGAGGGGATTGTACCCTCTACAGTAAAGTTCGGTAACCTAGCAAGCTTAACAATTATATAACTCAATATATAATTTTAACACGTTCTTGCATAGCCAAGGTTTGTTTTGAAGCACCCTTTTGAACCTGGGTGGCCCTGTGCCCCACCCACCGACCCTGCCCGATATGTGTATGCACATACGGTACTGGAACATGGCTGGTTCAGAAATGAGGCACAAACACACGAAGTGTTCCTTTCCCCAGCATTCACTAGAGCGTGACCTACACCTCTTATCGGGCATGCTTCTTATCAGACGTGTGCGGTACTGTGGAATGCAATTTTGATGCAAGCTGGTTTCGTGCTGTTCGGAACGGAGCAACACAAGCCTGAAAAGAGGTATGTCAGGTGGTCCTAGGTCTTAGAAACTTGGGACTAAAGGTTCTTAAACTTAGGAGGCTAGGTTGGCTAGGATACTAGGAAGAAGACCGCCATGGAATGGCGTGAGGAAAAACGGATCTAGGAGGTGAGAGGATGTCGAGAAGAAAGGGCGTTGGATTAGGAAGAGAGGGGAGTACAAGGAGGGGTTTGTACCCCCTACAGAAAGTTCCAGTAACAACCTACCAAGCCTATATTAAATTATAACTTATATAATTTTAACACACCCCCCTAGCTTGGTAGTGTCAAGCCCACGCACACCCCCACACCCACACCCACACCCACACCCCCTAGCCCAGCACCCCCATTCCCAGCAGGAGCCGCAACGACTCCGGAAGAGGGTAGGTCTCACGGCCCCTTGAGACGGCAATGGCGGCAGCAGCGACAGTGACGACGGCGGCGCGCGGCGGCGGTGTGCGGCGGCTCCAGGCCTGCGGCAACAGCGGCGGCGCCGGCGGCTCGAACGACAGAGGCTGGTGCGGCGGCCCCCGCCCTCTCGGCGGCATGTCCTGTCTCCTCGGCGGTGGAGAGGTCCCTCACATGGCAGTCATCGGCTGCAGCAAGAAAGGGGGGGATGCAGGGGAAGCAGGTGCAGGTGGGGGGGGGGAGGGGAGGGGCGGGGCGAGGCGAGTCTTCAGCGACGCGCCATAAGTGGCGCGGCGCTTACTGGCAGGAGGGCGGGCAGGTGGCGGTTACGACGGCGTGCTGCCCGCTGCCGCCCATCCACGCTGCCGCGGCGGCATGACGACGCCGCCAGGGCGCGGCGTCGACGCTGTGGCGGCACGCCGACGCTGCAACGGCAGCAAGGTGACGCTGCCACGGCAAAGCGTCGACGCAACCGGCTGCGGCCCGACGGCGCCGTCGACGCGCTGCAGCAGGACGTCGACGTCGCGACGGCAGAGGCAGCGTCGATGCCGCAGCGGGACGTCGACGCTGCGACTGCAGAACGACGGCCCGACGCCACGGCAGCGCGTCGAGCCGGTCGCGGCACGACGCGGCCAGTGGCAGCGCGACGTCGCCACTGCAGCAAAACGCGGCCGCCATGGCCGCTCAGCTAGTGA